TTATTTCACAATAGAAAATTTTCTTTAAGAAATCCAAGAAAAATTCATTTAACTAAGCCTCAGTCTGATTCAAAAAATGATAATGATGAACCTCGGGAAAATAAAGAAAATTTGTTTGAAGAGTCAAACTATACAATAACAGATGACAAAGAGCTTAATGATTCAGACTTATGTGTTGCAGATAAAATTACTAATGAACCAAGAATCCAACCCAAAGTTAATACTGATAATACATATTCAAACATTGCTTTTGAAAATACAATGAGTACTTCTCTTAGGCAAATTAACACAGCATGGTTAGTAAGAGCAAGTGGACTTAATTATGATGATACTGATGTCAAAAATAATATTGACATGAAGGAAAATTATGTAAAACAGAAATTTGGATTAAGTAATGTGTCCTTACCTGTATCTTTGGAAAAACCATGTGATTATATAGAAAACAGTGAATCAGAAGAAGAAGTAATCATAGAGAATCTTAAGCCAGCTCTTAAAAAAAGAAAAATTGAATGTCATAGCACAGCCCAAGAGCTGAATAAGAGACATAGTAATCAAAATTGTGAGCTTGAAAATTTAAAAGTTGAATGTAAACAGAAGAAAATATCTAAAAATGTAAGATTAAGAAATGTTGGAAGAATTGGACCCATCATTAAAGATGGATTAAGTGAAAAACCACCTGATATTAGGGAATTCTTGCCATTTGGATGTGACAAAGATGTTACTCCTCTAGTTTCAAAAGTAAGTGATTTATTAGGTGCAATAGAAACACCACCTTCTACAATTACTATAAACAATTCAAATCAAAACCTAGGTAAGTTAGAGAAAAAAATTCAGACCGGAACTGTAAATGATAATTTTGTAAAGATAAATATTGATAAGAAAGTGTATGTTAGAGGACGAAAAAGTTTTAATTTTTCAAAATATAAGAAAAAACAATGGAAAGACAAGAAAGCTTTACATGGTGGTATGGAATTTCCTGAATCTGGTAAAATATCTTGTTTCAAATGTGGATTATTTGGTCACATGGCTAGATATTGCACTTCTCACAAAGAAAATTCACTTTTACCATTACAGAATGATACAGATGATGAAATACCTACTTTAGAAGACATGCAAAAGATAGTCCAAAAAGAAACTTGTGTTGAATCATTAGAGGAAGAACTAAGCACATGTGTATATTCATCAAGTCAAATTCCTGATCACTTTTTGAAGTTACTATCTGAAAATCCAATTACAGAATCAAGTAGAGATCTGTTTCCAATATTCACAGAAGATAATAAGAGTGCTCAAAAGTTGTATGAAGCACTGAAACTGTTTGGACATCAGTCATTTCGACCTGGACAAGAAGAGGCAATAATGCGAATTTTATGTGGCAAATCTACTTTGTTAATTTTGTCAACTGGAGGTGGTAAATCATTATGTTATCAATTACCTGCATATATTTACAGTCAACATTATAAATGCATAACATTGGTTATATCTCCACTTGTTTCATTAATGGAAGATCAAGTTTTGAGTATGCCAGATTTCTTAAAAGCAGGATGTTTACACACAAATCAACCACCGACTCAAAGGCGCAAAATCATGGAATGTCTTAAAAATGGAGAAATAAATATACTCCTTATATCACCGGAAGCATTAATATCTGGTGATACCTCTAATGGATTTCCTGGGCTATTTAGGTCATTGCCCAAAATAGCATTTGCTTGTATTGACGAGGCACATTGTGTTTCACAATGGAGTCATAATTTTAGACCGAGCTATTTAATGATTTGCCGAATATTAAGAGAAAAATTAAATGTTCAGTGTATTCTTGGATTAACAGCAACTGCCAGTCAGTCTACTATAAAAAGTATTATTAATCATATTCATATTCCTGATGGTTTACAAGGGGTAGTGGAAAATCCATCTCTTCCAGATAACCTTATTTTATCCATGTCTTTTGAAACAAATAAGGACAAAGCTCTTATCACATATCTGACATCAAAAAAAATTATTGATTTCAATTCAATTATTGTTTACTGTATAAGAAGAAATGAGTGTGAAAGGGTTGCAGCAGTGATACGGTCACTATTGGCGCAACCTGGAAAAATTAATATGGAAAAGGAAAACAGGAAAAGAAAAAGGATGTCCTATATTGCTGAAGCATATCACGCAGGAATGTCTGCTGCACAAAGAAAAAAAATTCAAAAAAATTTTATGGATGGAACTTTAAAAATAATAGTTGCTACTGTTGCCTTTGGCATGGGTATAAATAAAGCAGATATAAGGTGCATCATACACTATAACATGCCTGCAAGTTTTGAATCTTATGTTCAAGAAGTTGGTAGGGCTGGCCGAGATGGGTTACAAGCATATTGCCATGTATTTATTAATGATAGTAATAATGACAAAAATGAATTACTAAAACATATTTATGCAAATACTATTGATAGGCCTATAATAAGAAGGTTACTCCAAAAGGTATTTGTTACTTGTCAATGTTCAAAAGAAAAATCTAATCCCTGTATGGGCCATGAGGTAGGAATACCCATAGATAGCACAGTTGAAGAATTAGACATACCTTCAGAAAATATTGCAACTTTATTATGTTATGTTGAACTACATCCAAAACATTATATCAAAGTGCTAAACAATGTTTATATATATTGTAAAATATTGTCTTATGGTGGTCCACAAAAAATTCTAGAGGCAGCAAAAATTTGTCCTCCACTTGCAATGGCTTATCTTATTGAAAGTAAAAAGAACAAATATATTATGAAAAATAATATTTTAGAATTCAATGTGATTGAAGCTGCTGCTGCCATAGGTTGGGAAAGTGGCATGGCAAAATATCATTTAAAAAACTTAGAGTGGGAAACTATAGGTGGTTTATCAAAAAGATCTCAATTAAAAGTAGAATTCAGTACTCTAGGTTTTAGAATAAAAGCTAAAGGTGACTTATCAGCAGTTGAGCTTGATTCTGTTTTGGATGACTTACATAACTCTGTTTGTAAACAAGAAGAGTTAAGCTTATACCAACTTGAAGAAATAGATAAAGCATTTCGTCAACTCTGTAATTTTTCAGTAGAAAAACATAACTTTTCTGAAGAATTACTGAAAAAGAAATCAAATGAATTAAAATTTATTATAAGACATTATTTCCAAAGAGAAAATGATCTGCCTATGCAAATAGTTTTACCAGTACGTCCATTAGATATTGACCGAGCTATTTCTGACATACGTGCTTTAATTGCTACTTACAAAGACTGCACATTCACAGGAAGGAGCATTGCTAGAATTTTTCAAGGTATATCATCCCCAAACTTTCCTGCTATAGTGTGGGGCAAATGTAAATATTGGAGATCTCATATTCATGAAGATTTTAATGGATTGACAAGAATAGCAACACAAGAAATCATACAGATGAAATGAAATCTCATATTTTGAAACAAATAAATAAATGATGTTATTCTCTTCCACTCGCTTTTATTTTATTCAATAAACTTTTTTGTGTGAACACACCCATCAATTAACTTCTTTTGCATTTAATTGGATTTAATGAGGAAAAAGTAATATGAATAAACATTAATAAAATAAAATATCAGTGTATCCTTAATCAAATATTTATTTTTGGGGTTTAAATTGCTTTTATTTACCTAAGATCAATAATTACTATGTTAATTTTAAACCTTTATTAAAAGGTAATAAATAAAATTCTATTCAATTAAATAGTGAGCCAATGAATAAAGTATAGAGGCAGTCTGCTATTAGTCAACCAGTTTAAAAGTAAAATGCTTTTTAAAGTAATGTTTATTTACAACAACCTGAAAAAATAAATGTAGATAAAATGAAAACAACAATTTCTTTTATCTGAATCTCATTCTTGTTAATACATTTTTTATTTCTTTATAAATAGAACTAATTAAATTTTTGCAAGCCATAAATCTGTTAAATAATAATAATTCTGTTATAGAAAAATAAAGTGGAAAAAAGACTGCTGCAAACTGCATATCACTGAGCTTTAGACTCAAGTCCCAAATGTGATATAGTGGTGGTGAGCCTTGTCATTTTACACAGATATGAACAACATGATTTGTAATTGAACTCCTCTCCGAAACGGCTCGACCGATTTTCGTGAAATTTTGTGTGCATATCGGCCAGGGTGGAGAATCGGACAACATCCATTTTTCATCCCCCTAAATGTTAAGGGTGGTCCACCGCAAACATCTTTTTCTACCTTACAAATAATTTATATGGCAAAACAACGTTTGCCGGGACAGCTAGTATATTATAACAGAATGAAAAATCAAACATGTATAAATAAGAAATATTAGACTGACTTTTTGATCAGAATCACTGTTGAAACATTACTGCATTTATACATTCGCTTTCAGTATTCTTTTACCTTAAAAACAGAGTATTTCATTCTAATGCTTATGTTATTTTAAATTTCAAACCTCACATTTTTAATGTTACCCATATTTATGGGCGTGGACGGAATTTCATAATTAGATGCATATGTTTTTGGTATACTCATATTTAACTTTAACAATCATTTCAGTTCTTTTTTTAATCCTTACTTCTTCATTAAAATAATCACTTAAAGCAATCAGATATTTTGTTGCAATTAGCAAATGAATTAAAATCATGATAAATATTTTCATTTTATCTACACTTTCATAAATATTTTTAAGTATTGCAAATAACATACAGAGGCACTGCATGTATTTTTTAGTAATTATTATGAATATAAAGTTTAAGTTATCCAAGAAACCATAAACATGTACAACATAACATATTAACAACAACAACAAAATTTTATTTTATTTATTGATTAAAGTAATAAATATTAAGTCACCTAAAGACATTTTAATTCTAAAGAAAAATATTACAAATTGCTTTACATCGTATCTTAATAACCGGTCAAATTGTGCATGACCGGTTCCAATGTTAGCATAGCGTTTTGTTAGTTTATTGCATAAGTTAACTTATTACTGCCCAAAACATTTTGTATATTAAACGGAAAGCGACACGAAGCTGTTGTATTGAGCAATGTTGCGTTTCAAAATGTCAGCACACAATCCCAAAACTCTCTCGAATCTGGAAAGTATAATAATAGGTTGTTAAACTACAATTATTAAATATTAAAGATCATTCTGGAATAACCAGGTCGATGTTTTGCCTTAACAACCTCAATATTGTATCTTTCAATTGTTGGATTTCTGTGTTTTAAAAGTGAATTAAATTGTCGACAGATTTTTGTTGGTACATAAGGAGTAATTAATTCATATTCTTTAAATATGCATCATTACAATTAATCCATATCCACCTTAAATGCTCCACTTGAATAGATATTTTTTTTTAAATCATGCCAGTAGCTTGAGCGATAACGACCTTAATATAGTAATTCCTATTACAGTTATATAGTATAAAATATTTTATTGAATACACTACTCTTTGAATTATTGAAAGAAATAAAAAAGAGGATATACAAGTTTTTATCGGAACAGATTGGTGAATCACTGATGAACATTTGTAATAGTAAATGATCAGGCAAATCCAAACCAATCCACCCGCCTTACCATTCGCTAATACGATTCCTTTATAAAAGGGCGTTGACGTCTGTCCTTTTTTATGTGAGATGGTGGCAAGCGAGCTCGCGGTTGGCCTGATGTTAAGAGATTTTACCTCGCTCACCAGACTGTCTTCTGTGATGTTGTGGCAATTTCCCGGACTGACATGCCATATGTGCGCCAGTGGAGGCTGTTGCGTAGACCCCTACCACCTGCGGGGCGACTTCGCCGCTCACCTTGCGCGGTCCAGCTTGACGCACTTGAGCGGACCGAGGGCGCGCACGGTGGCGGCCCGCGGGCGGTCGAGCAGCAGTGCGATCTCGCCGAAGTAGTCGGACGGCCCGAGGCGGCCCACCTCCACCGCCTCACCGCCCGCCGCCCCCTCCCCGCCATCCGCACCCTCCCCGCCCTCGGAGGAGCCGCGCTGCTGGAGCACCACCGCCGTGCCTGTTGACACGACCAGCTTTAGCAGGGCCGGGGTAGTGTGCGAAATTAATCAATTGGCCATGAGAACACTTTCGCTTACGACGCATTGCATTTTGCCCATATGTAATTGTTGGAGAAAGATTGAATATATGGAAGGATGTTTGTTACTCTTTCACGCTTATACTACTGAATGGATTCTAATGAAACTTAACAATAATAGAGCTTATACATCAGAATAAGACATAGGCTATCATTATATATATATATATATATATATATATAAGCAGACGTCGTCGCGGGCAGCAACTAGCAAAAAATTTATTCCCAAATTAATTAGCACAGGAACTGAGTCAATATAAACAGTAAACTGGCAAGGAACTGAGTCAATATAAACAGTGGTGAGAACATTTAATTTTTATGTATTTTTAAAAACACATTGCCCTTACCTTAGGATAACATTATCCTGTGTTGTAGGGACGTTTTACATACATAAATTTCACGTGGACAAACACCCAGATCTTGTATCTTGTATTAACTGATGTTTGTGCTTTCAGTCCAGAGACTATTAAAGCTTCATCTGACGCAGAACCGGTGGGCTAGCCAGAACCCACGGGTTTGGGCCCTCCGCTGTGGGTAGGGCCGCGCATGTGCTCATGCGTGCGTTTAACTACGGCATGTCATCTAAGGGCCATCGAAGTAGCGGTGCGGACCGAGACCCCGATGGCCGTCGACTGTGTTTTTAGCTAATCGGTGGCTGGGGGCGGTGAGAACCGTCCTGGAACGCGGGTGTACCTTGTGTACGCGTTGTGTTGGTCTCGCCGTGCTCGGAGGGGAGGGCGAACTAATGTGTTTGTTGCTACACTAACTGTGTGTGTAGTGTTATCCGGCGGGACCCCCGACGGTGGGTCCGACGTACCTAAGTCCCCTTCCTCGACCGGGTCGATGAGGACGTTTCGCGGGCGACGCTTGTTGACGCTTGCGTTTGGATCGGGTTGGTAATTTGCTGCGCTTACCACCAGAGGGTTGGGATGATGTTCGGCTCTATCGAAGAACCGTTTGGTCAGGTCTTTGAAAAATTCGCGAATCATCGGGAGTCTGCAATCATTGTGCAGGTCGACGTTGCGTTGATACCACTGCGCACCGGTTGCGCGGCGGATGAACTTATTTTGCACTACTTGCAACTTGTGCAAGCGAGTAGGGTGCGTGTGGGCGATAATCATGCATGCGTAGGACATGATTGGCCGTACGCAAGCTTTGTATAAAAGTAATTTGTGTCTTAAGGACATTTTACTTGACTGGTTAGTTAAAGTGCTTAGCCGGCCGGAGACGAACGCGGCTCTGTTACGGACGTTATTAATATGCGCTGTGAATGACATACGCGAGTCGAAAGTGACTCCTAAATATTTTACCTTTTTCTCCCAGTGGAGCGGTTGGCCATAAAGAGATATTTCCCCTAGCTTTCTGCATTGGCGACGACTTTATAAAGATGTGACGGGTAAGTACTTCGTGTGAAGTGAATCGCCACACTCTTTTCGGGATTTACTTCAATTCTCCATTTGCGGAACCAATCGCCGAGGCGGTTGGCGGCGCTTTGGAGTCGAGTGGTTAGTTGACTAAGGTTGCGGTCTGAATAAAAGAGCGCCGTGTCATCCGCGAAAAGCGCGAGATTGACGTGGGGGTCTTTTGGTATATCGCTCGTGTAGAGCGTAAAAAGTAAGGGTGAGAGGCAGGAGCATTGTGGTACGCCGGCCGTGAGGCGGCGGCTTGTGGAGAGGGCGCCCTCAACTCGATATCGAAAGGAACGGTTCGACAAGAAGGCCTGAATGGTGTGTACAAGCCTGTCTGGCACTTTGAGTGAGAACAGCTTGTAAATCAAGCCGTTGTGCCAGACTTTGTCGAATGCCTTTGCGACATTGAAGAAAAGAGCCCCCGTGCTAATATGTTTAGGGTGATTTAGGCCTTTTAGGATACGTTCCGTTAGGCGGTATAATTGATCGGGACAGGAATGTCTTGCTCGAAAGCCGAATTGTTCCGCCGGCAGAAGGCTTTTGGAAAACACGTGCTCTTTGAGCCTGTTTAATAGAAGCCGCTCGTAAAGCTTCCCCAGGCAACTGAGGAGGCTGATGGGACGATAACTAGAGGGCTGATTGGCTGGTTTATTCGGCTTGCGAATGCCGATAACCGTGGCTCCTTTCCAGTCGTCCGGAAAGGAACAACTGGAGAGTAAAGTGTTGTAAATGGTCGCCAGTAAACAGATAAGTGGGCCAGGGAGAGCTTTAAGGATTTTATTACTAATATTGTCTGGGCCCGGGGAACACCCAGATGCGAAACAACTATCTTGTGGTTCACACAAATAGTTGTCCCGTGTGGGAATCGAACCCACGACCTCCGACGCCGAAGCCAATACCTTGGCAACTGCGCCAAGGAGTCATCAAATTAAAAACACCAATTATTGCAATTATAAACATCGATTATTGATATCAATGCAGATAAAAGAAATGCATCTTTAAGTGCAGAGATTAGTCAAATTTTCATAGCATTCAAAGCGACATCTCTAATTTTCAAATATTCATTGCCAAAATGTCACTTGATAATGTGTTGGTCTAAAGGAACTATTACAACACGCTAACGCCCGGTTTCTGAACCACTGATCATCGTAGATGTCAACTAATCAGCCGTCAAATGGCTTTTCTAATTTCATTTTAGTTGCCAAAAGGAATTGACCAGAACTCTCTGAATTTACCAGAATGATCTTCTAATGATCAGAACGATCAATCCACAGAGTTTAACCATCCTTTTGGCGACTAAAATGAAATTTGAAAACCATTTGACAGCTGATTAGTTGACATCTACGATAATCAGTGTTTCGGAAACCGGCCGTAAGTATTGCTAAAAATTCTAAAAAAAACTATACAAGATATCGATATTTTCATGGTGCGAGGAAAACTAGAAAAACACACTAGTGTCTGGACGCGGAAACCGCTAGGCGCAGATACTAATCCTGGCAGCGGCGAAAAATATTTTGATAATTTCATGTACACATTTTAAGCTGCATCTTAAGTGCAGAGACTAGTATATATCAGATATTAAAATAATAGAGATAATTAAATAGTAGGTTTTCAAGGTTGATAAAATGAATCTTCTATTACGAATTATAGATATAAATTATACGTACATAATGTAAAAGATAGACAGATATATTGTAAAAGATTCTAAAATACCTTCAACAATGATGTAAAAATCGTTTCCAGGCTCTCCTTGTCGTACAATTATTTCGCCGTCGTTAAAGGAAACAGGCTCCAGCGCATCTGCCACCGTCAAACGCTCCCATTTCTCTAGGCTCTCTAAAAGGTAACCACATGCGAAACCGTTAAATTTTATTACTTTTAAATTAAACTCGTTAACTTATTTCTTCATGGTTAAGTCTACTATTGACTACCTGTGTCTCAAACACAAGTCCATGGGCAAATGACAGACGGGGGTGTGATCATTGACTCTGTAAAGTGTTAACCTATTTTATTCGTATAAACTTTAGTACCTGGAGGACCGAGCTTGGAAAGAAAGCAATGATCTGGAATCGAACAAAAATTATAAAAAAAGTGTGTGAATGATCGTGACACGAACCGCGGTCGTCTGTTTTGGGGCCGCCCGATTACCGACCGAGCTATTAAACATTTTTTTTTTTGCGGCGAAATTTACCGTCATATTCGAATGATATTTTTCATTCCCTGAAAACAGGGATAAAAGGAAATTTTTCGATCGATTGGATCGATTTTTCGCCCCCGAAATTATAAATACTAAACTAAATTTCATGAAAATCGCCGGAGCCGTTTCCGAGATTCCGATTATACAGCGTGTCGTTACCATCGCGACAATAAATGAACACAGGTCTAACGCAACTTACTAATAATCAAAAAAAAAATATAAACGTTTAACAAAATCCATAATTAAAAAAAAATATTTTTCAAACAAACTAATTAAGTAAAAAAGAAACAAAATTTGTAACATCCTATACAACGAGCGCCACAGCGTCGCATTACAAGCCTCTCCTTCTAAAAATATGTTTTGTCTCTTTTAAATTCATTCAACCCATTCATATGCTTTGTGACCTTTACAAATGAACTTTACGTTACAGTTTAATACGTAAGGGTTTTCTATTATTTTGGAAAATTTAATAACTCGGTAAATATTGATGTTTAAAGAATATAAATGTTTAATACAATTTTTAAAAGTTATCCTCTATATGTGTGTCTCCTCTATAAGTCTCATTTATTGTCGCGATGGTAACGACACGCTGTATATATATATATATATATATATAGAACAAGAATTGCTCGTTTAAAGGATAAGATAAAAGGCTACGCATTAGCAACCCTATGGGTGTTCCAAATATCCGTGGGCGGTGGTTATCACTTCACATCGGGTGAACCGCATGTTCTCTTGCACCTCAAGCTCGACCGGCCGATCCCAGCCGTGAACTAACGCGATGTCTAATACATCGGCCTTATGGTTTGGATCCGTGGGGTAGTGTGTTTGCTCAGAAGGACCCACTATTCATTAGTTTATTTTTCCTCGTCCTAAGGTTCTCTGGAAGAGATCGCTTTTTAGCGATAAGACCGCCTTATTGTACCTAGCTTTTAAGGACGCGTTTACGAATTCACGCGTTCAAATTTAGGTACAGAGGCGTACTACTACACGTGCACGGCTCACGCACACAGCGACAAGCGCGAAGCAGCGAAACTTTATGTAACTGACGCAACTTGATACTTTTATTTAATTTGAAGTCATTTATTTTTTAAGCTTACGTTAAATTTGTTTTCAACAAGTTTTTTTAAACTGAATATTTTTTTATATATTTAGGTATAATTTATTAAATTTCATTTAAAAGCTCGTAGCTGTTGATAATTTGCGTTATAATTAATTATGTATATAATTTAATTTTATGTTTTAATTAATTTTTATGAAGTAAACGAAGCTTGTTTTATACATGTTTGATTATGCGTGCGGTAGGTAGATAGCTTGATAGGTAGGTAATGGTAGGGTACGTAGGAAGGTAGCTATGTAGGCAGATAATTAGGTAAAACCCGCTAACGAATTGAGTAAAATACTTTGTATGGTATTCTGAATGCATTTTGCTGATTCAATAATATTCATGCTAAATGTTAAAAAAAATAATTTTCTGTCAATGAATTGGAAATAGCATGGCGTACGAAGCCGGGCTATTATCTAGAAACTAAAAATGAAATAATAAAACGAAGGAAACAAACTAGTAAAAATTAAAAAAACATTTTTATAAAAAAAAACCTGTCGCAATCGGCTCAGCTGGGGTAAAGCTATAGCATAGCATCTTTTATCAACTTATGCGATTATAATTATTTAATTATGCAGTATTTTTTTCTTTGATATTTATATTTATGTTAATAAATAATAATATTTTAATAATATAATAATTAATATATATTATAATTAATAATATATAATTAATTTATATTATTTACAAAAATGATAAGAACTACTAAATCAGTCACTAAGCTCTGGATAGTTAAATTACAATATACTAACATTTTAAACTTGTGATATCTTTCGAATGGAATGTCCGAATTTAATCATTCAAAAAGTTATATAAAGATATTGAAACAGTCTTAAATATAAAGTAATTTATTTATAAGAATTAATACCAAGATACAAATAAAGAGCCTTTTCTAGCGGCGGCATTTCAATCAAAATTTTAAAGTAAAAGAATACTTATTGTGGCATAACTATAATAGTTAGACATATACTGTCGCAACACTTTTTATAAATAATGATGTGTTCTGTAAATTCGTAGTACATTATTTTATACAATTATCAATAGTTTTAGCAGCGCACGCGATGCAAACAATATTTTAGGTAATTTTTGTACACTTTGGTTTACATTATTCAAGTTTTAGTAAGGATTCCTAGTTTTTTGAAAATTTAATATATCCTATGTCATCCGGGGATAATGTAGCTTCGAGACAGTGAAAGAAATTTTCAAATCTGTTCAGTCGTTTAGGAGCCTATTCAATGCATAAAAACAATCGAATCTTTCCTCTTGCGTGGTAGGCGGAGTGGGTGGTGTTAGGTTTTATTTTCGTTACGGAATTTATTGATTCGTTCGCCGCGCTCAAAGCCCGCGATAAAAGCTGTGCAATAGCTTAAAAAAATATTGTTTCATTTTTAATTTGACTCTTTCATGCTCTTCGCAGAACTGTCGCTATGTCGATCCTGGGTGGAGCAAGCCCGCGAGGCCAATTTATACCTTCGACACGAGGTTCTGGCTCCGCCTTTTGATGTTCACTCTAGGGATAGGGAAGACCACACGGAGTCGGGGTGCTCTGTGTCGGATCTTTGTGATTTTTCTTTATAGTTCTCTATCATTTAATTATTTTTGTTATCTATATCGAAGTAGTAGCCTGCTAAAATTTTATCGTTTTAGGCTTTGGCATCTGAAACAACAATTGAGTTATAAGAGGTATAAATGTTGTATGTGATAACTGTGCCATAAAAATAAGTCTTTGATAATTTAAGTTGAGACCCACTACATTTTTACATAACTATTTTTTTTTTTTTTTCGTGTTTTGCCTATTTTAAAGACGTTCTTACTTATTTTAAATTAAGTATTATTTTAGGCAGAATCCATGATCATAAAAGTTGATCAGCGCGAAACACGACAAAACAATAAACGATAAATGGGGTCATAAACGTGAAACAAAAAGTTTGCCACATAGCTGTCGTTCGAAACTTTTGTAGTACATGTTTATTACACCTATTCATTGAAACATACAAAAAAATGACCTTTTAGACATGCCTAATCTTACAATTTGCAAGTGTGCAAATTTGTTTTGTATTACTTGTATTTTTAATTATCCATACAACTTTTCTACATGTGGTGTACTTTTGGCCAACACTTGGCTGCATGGAAATAAGAATTTATAATAAAATACCAGATAGGTTCATAGGCCTCCCGGAGTATTTAAATTTAAACGAAAATTCTAAAATCTGTACACTGTCAAATTAGACATTTAAAATATTTAATCATGTCTAAGTAATGTAGAATGTTTATATTAAAAATTCATTACTTTGACTTGTGATTTACTTTGACTTATATTTATACTCTATTGACTCATAATTATAATCTAAATTTCAATTTTTTTTTTTATATTAACATGTTTCACAAATATTTATACCCAGAATTGATGTAGAATACGTAGTTCCATATTTTAAATAACTTTTTTACTGTATTCTTACACCTTCATGCCAATACATCAATTTCAAAGGTAAGGTCTCAAAAAAACTCACAAAACAAGCCCAAACTCGACACACATAGCTCATCTCGTCTGTTAGTTCCAGTAGCAGTTCTCGAAGTACACCTTCAGGTCACTCCATCAAGTCAGAAGGCAAGGTCTCACCATACCTAACAAAACAAGCCCAAACTCGACACACATAGCTCATCTCGTCTGTTAGTTCCAGTAGCAGTTCCCAAAGTACACCTTCAGGTCACTCTATCAAGTCAGAAGGCAAGATCACACCATACCTAACAAAACAAGCCCAAACTCGACACACATAGCTCATCTCGTCTGTTAGTTCCAGTAGCAGTTCTCGAAGTACACCTTCAGGTCACTCCATCTAGTCAGAAGGCAAGGTCTCACCATACCTAACAAAACAAGCCCAAACTCGACACACATAGCTCATCTCGTCTGTTAGTTCCAGTAGCAGTTCTCAAAGTACACCTTCAGGTCACTCCATCTAGTCAGAAGGCAAGGTCTCACCATACCTAACAAAACAAGCCCAAACTCGACACACATAGCTCATCTCGTCTGTTAGTTCCAGTAGCAGTTCTCAAAGTACACCTTCAGGTCACTCCATCTAGTCAGAAGGCAAGGTCTCACCATACCTAACAAAACAAGCCCAAACTCGACACACATAGCTCATCTCGTTTGTTAGTTCCAGTAGCAGTTCCCAAAGTACACCTTCAGGTCACTCCATCAAGTCAGAAGGCAAGATCACACCATACCTAACAAAACAAGCCCAAACTCGACACACATAGCTCATCTCGTCTGTTAGTTCCAGTAGCAGTTCTCGAAGTACACCTTCAGGTCACTCCATCTAGTCAGAAGGCAAGGTCTCACCATACCTAACAAAACAAGCCCAAACTCGACACACATAGCTCATCTCGTCTGTTAGTTCCAGTAGCAGTTCCCAAAGTACACCTTCAGGTCACTCCATCAAGTCAGAAGGCAAGATCACACCATACCTAACAAAACAAGCCCAAACTCGACACACATAGCTCATCTCGTCTGTTAGTTCCAGTAGCAGTTCTCGAAGTACACCTTCAGGTCACTTCATCAAGTCCGTAACGAAATATGAATTTTTAACCCCTACTAATTTCTAGTAAAAATATGACAAAGTGTGAATTATAGTTTACTTTTGTCGTTCGTAGTCCGAAGTCCGAACATGATGTGTAAAGTATCAACTTTGTTACGACAAATATTTTGTATTCGTACAGCGATCTTTTTCCTCACGAGCTGCTGTTTATAAGCGACATAGTGACCACTCATGACGGCAGCCGAGCGCCGACTAATATTTCTTTAAATATTTTTGTGGAATAAATCAAAAAAGTGACCAGTAAAATAACCTTTATGTCAATCACTTAAGATTCACGCGTAAGATATAAATGTGAAAGAAATAGATTTTAATCTTTATTTTTTTCTGAAACTAATTTCAACAATTTTGATACGTAATGTAGCTACCTTTTGAGTTGAACATGTGTGCTTACATAAAATATTTTTAAATTAAAAAAATATGTTATTAAATAAGAGAAAAATGTTCCTAAACCCAACAGGATATCGTCCATTTTGAGTGAAGTGGTCACGAAAATTCTCATTTACAATATTATAAACCAAAATTTTCGATTAAAAACTATCTACCATTTGAAGATGAAGGAGGGATCTATATGTGATAATTATTACTTACAGTATATTCGTTTCGTTTTGCCGCAAAATGTACCTGAAAACCCCCTATTTTTGCAGATTCCGCGAGATTTCGCAAACACGCCCTTAAGACTTATTCCATACTAATTGTATCAAATTCTTTGTGGTGTACAATAAAGTATATAATAATAATAATAATAAGGACCCAACACACGATATCCCCATCAATGCATCGCGGCTGTTGCATGAATGGGCCGGTCCGTCCGGGAAAGTAACACCTTACTGAAGACCATCGTTAAGTGGAAGTATGACAAATACTTTTGCGTTTCGTCTGGTGAGTGAGGTAGCCGGAGCCCAATTTTCAAAAGGTTGTCAACGAATCTGTTAACCTCAGGTATAGGAACGTCCATGAGCGGCGGTATTTACTTACCATCAGGTGAATCGTCTGCTCGTTTGGCAACATTTCACATAAAAAAAAAAGATTATTTAGTCATAAGGCAAGCGCTAGGAGAAGAAACACCGCCTCACCCAAAATGGAGACTCTGGAGAGGAACTCGTCGTACATTCGGCGTTTGCGTATGGTGGAGCCCATAAGGATGCGCCGATAGGAGTCGCGGTCCAGACCCCACAGCTTCAGCTGGGTGCGGGCGCGCACCGTGGCGGCACGAGGCGTCCCGTATATCAGCGCCAGCTCACCAAAGCTGCCGCCCTCGCCGATTGTCGTCACTGGCTCCCCGTTTACTAGCACCTGAGTAAAATAAGTTTTGTTAGGCCTAAAACAGAGACATGTATAGTTTAACAACTGTGATATAAAATTATTATACCTCTACTTCACCCGAGTCGATAATGTAGAAATTGTCCCCTTCATCCCCCTGGCGTATGACAGTCTCGCCCTGTAAGCATTGCACAGGAAACATGGCGTCAAACATGTCGGCCCTCTCTGACTCATCAAGATGTGTGAACAGAACATTGGATGCAATTGCACGTGATAGTGCCCCCATTGTTTTATAATCCTTTGGCACCACCTGGAATAACAAGAAAAAATAGCTTTTGTTTAAACATCAAATAAAGAATTATATTATTTTTAAAAATATTAACTATCTATCTTGCATTAATTAAGATTTGTAACCATCATATTTTCTGGCTACTAAATCTTTTGTTGGACTTATGAGCAACCAGTTATTTTATTTCAGTTTTGAAACAGTTTTATTAATAGCACTCATTATAAAATGTAGAATAAAGTGTTATACAGTGTGTCTTTACAATCGCGACAATAAATGAACACACGTCTAGCGCTATTTGCCAATAATCATAAAAAAATATTAACATTAAAAAAATCCTTAATTAAAAAAAATATTCTTCAAACAAACTAATTAAGTAAAAAAGGAACAAAATTTGTAACATCCTATACAACTACAACTGACTGATTCATTCATTCAGAGACTTTTTCATTCGTTGCCACCGCATTACAAGCCTCTCCTTCTAACAGTATGTTTTGTCTCTTTCAAATTCAATTAACCCATTCATATGCTTTGTGACCTTTACAAATGAACTTTATGTTACAGTTTTATATGTAAGGGTGTTCTAAAATTCGTTGCTTTTGTGTTTGTTGTGTTCTAAAATTTAATAACTCGGTAAATATTGATGTTTAAAGAGTGTAAATGTTTAATACAATTTTAAAAATTTATCCTCTATATGTGTGTTCATTTACTGTTGTGATTGTAAAGACATGCTATATACTGGTACCTTTCTTTTTAACTGACTTTACTAAGACTGAATTTTATTTTTAATCCCAGTAGGTAATTGATTTTATTCACACACTGATAAGAAAGAATACCTTCTTAACATAGCTAGTTGCATCCTCTTCTGTGACAGGTTCAGCACTAATCCCACCACGGCGGCGCGGCAACTGGCCACCGGGTAGTGGTAGGGGTGAGAGCTCACCATCACCTTCACCTTCTGAAGTTGCAGCCGCTGCTGCAGCAGCCTTCACTTGCTCCTATGTGATAATATGTTAATTTTAAATTAAAGATTTTCATATATTAGCCATAGTCTTATAAAATGCAACTATTAATACTATAGGTTGCTGAACTCTCGATAGTTTCAATTTAAGCGTTAGAAAGGACCCCGAGGCTTTGTTAAAATGATGATGGGATAATCCATAACGTTTTGAATTGTTTTATTTTAGGGCTAATCAATAACATAGGTACAGAGTTAGGGACCAAAAGATTTTCAAAGTTATGTATGAACTTCTTAACAACAATGAAAATTATAACTATTAAATATTATAATAACTAAAAGATTAATTTTCAACGGTAAATTTTTGTTCACATTTAGCTAACAACAATACAAAAATTAAATTTTTTTAAAAATTAAGCAATTAGATTTTCTTTCTCCATACGATTACAAACAGTGAAGCAATTTTTTATATATTGTAAATTCTAAGCATTGAATAGATTTGGATAACTAATTTAATATATACAAATTAAACAAGATAAGTACTATTCCTCTAGAAAAGCATATAATTTTAGCTAGTACTTAACCTTTTGTCAACTAACCCTTTCCAATTTTTGAAAATACTGCCGTAAAAATGTTATTGGATTTTCAGGCTTATTTAAACATAGTTGAACGATGCAATCTTTTAATAAAAGCTGGATATTATGACTCTGAATGTAACTTTCACATTGATGTAAACATTGTTCTTCCTCCATTGAATCCATTTCCTACGCTACAATTAAAATTAAGTTAGTCTATGAGTACATAGACATACTACATTCTTGACACAGAAACAGATAAAAAATGTGAATATCAATGAATGAAATAGTCTCGTTTTTTTTTAAAACAAAGATTATAATTATTGCCTGGTAACAAGACCTTTAAGCCAACATAGCTTCGTCGGAAGAGGTCAACCAACACGAGATGCATCATATAATTATAATTATAGTAGTAATAGTGGTGTATTATCTATGATGAGACGTACCAAGACGAACGCTCTCGAGAATGGGATCAGATTGACCATCTCAAAAATAGCGAAATCTGCCCGACAGTAGCAAAAAATGTGCCAATCTCTACTCCAAAAAATGCCAAACATCAAACATATATTCCTAATACTGTATTGTTTGACAGAGTACAGTATAGCTACTGAAATAGACATTCTTTCCTAGAAATTAATATTTTTTATATAGTGCTAATCTCTACACTTAAGATTAAAAATTTAAATTTGTAGAAAAAGTACGAAAAGATTGTCGCCAATGTGGTAATCGACCCCACGTCTTCGGCATTCGCGGCCGCAGCAGCTAAACGACTGATTGCTACACCGACGAAAATCTTAACGTCGTTTATCTTCATTGTTTTTAGCATTTGAAGCCGTGCTCGGCGCATGCATTGTTATATCCTTTCCAGAATAAAAACAATTTCGAATATCATTTTACGATAATTCGAACGAGAGGTGTAGATCGTCGCGTGTTGTGCATCTATTATGTGCCGGCAATGCTGTACGGCCGCGTACACTGCGACAAGTTCGCGGTAATACGCGAGCCATGTACTTTGTCTCTATGTTAGCTTTTTGCTAAAGAGTGCCAACGGCTGCCAGCTTTGATCAGACCATTGCTGTAGGGCAGCGCCGACATGAGTGCTGGAGGCGTCCGTGTACAACCTTAACCGAGCATTTCGTTGCGGATATACGAGAATGGTGGCCTCTGAGAGACTGTCGCGACACTCGTAGAAAGCACGCTCCAAGTCTGGTTTCCAAGGCATAGCTTTTGAACCTTTCAGGTTGCTGACTGTTAAAATCCACAAGTAGAGCTTGCAGCTTGGCGGCTTTGGGAAGAAATTGGCGGTAATAATATACCATCACCAGGAAACGTCTCAAACCTTGTGCTGTTTTGGGAAGTGATAATTCACGGAGAACAGCGATCTTCTCGTCAGGTGGGCAGATACCATTCTTGGTTATCTTATAACCTAGGAAGGTTACCTCACCTGCTCCCAATACGCACTTATGCACATTGACAATGACACCAAAGTCCACCAGTCTTTACAGGATTATGCGCAGGTGATAGGCGTGCTCTTCAGCGTCTCGTGAGAACACCAAAATGTCGTCAATGTAGGGAAAGCGAAGTCTTTTCCGCGCAAGATCTCGTCGATGAAACGCTGGAATGTTTGGCCAGCGTTCTGTAACCCAAATTACATATAGGGGAACTCGAAAAGACCAAATGGTGTTATTATGGCTGTTTTGTAAACATCTGGACCAGTTACCGGAATCTGCAGGTAGGCCTTTACCATATCTAACGTGCTAAAAATAGTAGAACCAGCCAAATTATGACTGGAGTCTCCTATATGACGTACGGGGTACCGATCGGGAATGGTCCGAGCGTTTAAAAGCCTGTAGTCACCGCAAGGACGCCACATGCCATCCTTTTTGGGTGCTAAGTGCAGTGGTGACGACCAAGGACTATTAGACGGGCGAGCAGTACGCGATGAAACCATGTCATTAAACTCCTTCTCAGCAATTTTAAGCTTATTGGGTGCTAGTTAGCGAGGAAGTGACGTGACCGCAGCCCACTAGTTGTCGTTATGTAGTGTACAGTGCTGTGTTTTATTTGACGGTCAGCTGTAGGTGGGCGCGTCACTTCCGGAAAGTCTAAAAAGAGTTGACTGAAAAGGGAATCACGGGACGGTTTTTTTACGGTCTTGCGGATACTTGGCTGCCTTATATTACGATTACAACAAGATGCGGATAAGTTGGTCCTAAATTGAGGTTTAGGTTAACTGTGCCATAAGTTTTAATGGAGCTGCCATTAGCCGCATTAAGAGGAAGTTCTGTTTTTTTTGAAAAATTTATACAGTAAATATTTACAATAGAAATTATTAGGTTTTTTTTTTTGGAATATTTTTAGGTATTAAATTTTATTCACATGTTTGAAAATAATCTACACAGGACTAGGTACTTTATTTTAAACAAAGAGAAAACGTGTGCATCCCGGGACGCCCGTCTGATGTGATAACTTAAACTAAGCTCAAAAACTATTTTATATTGAAATAGTTTAATAGAATAGAATCAGATTTCGATTTCAAATATCAGATTTCGAAACTATGTATTTTAATATCTAAATATTTTACGTTCGCGTATCCACCTTAAATTCATAAAAATAAAAAAATAAAAGTGAGTGACAATATTTTTATTAATTAATAACATTCAATATTATAGTTTAGGGCGGAAGAATTTAAAATATACACACAAGCCTTTGCCTGACGTCCACCAATGCAGCACGGAATTATTAAATTATATTTTTCTTTTTCGTTTTGTGCAGTTCTTTTTTTTTCAAAAATGCGAATAAAATTTAACTTCTAAAAATTTTTTTTCCTTAATTTAGGAAGAAAATTCCTAAGTTGGTATCACTTACCATTACGTGCTTAAGTATCAATGCACTCCAGGTGAAGGCTAAACAAAATTTAAAAACATCGTTAATACCATGATTCGTATTTAAATGAAACAGAGTTTTTTTTCCATGCTTTTAAAATTCAAAATTGCTTAACTTATTCATAAAATCTCTTTGAAAATCTGATATTGTGCATTGTTTGCCGTACCCCTCTAACTAGTTTAATATTTGTATCTCACGCGCTTTGTCGCTCGCTACGGCTTAAGGCTAGTGCTAAATAAAAGAATTAAAGATATCGTAATCGTTGATACCATGCTTAGTATTTAAATGAAACGGATCTTATTTGCATGCTCTTAAGGTTCAAAATTACGTCTGATTGTCAAAGTTAACCCGGGCTACCGTCAGTTTTTGTATTATTGATTTTGTGTCCGATCTATGCAGAGGGAGCTAATTGTATCTTGTCTTGCAGTAGTGGTTCTTTTGGGCTTAGATTTAATTTTATTGATGATAGGATCCCAAGCTGTTGGTAGTACCCAACCCTCTTCTCTATTGAAATTAGGGTGTTTTTTTAATTTCAATAGCCTCGCGAATCATCCTCGGGAGGAATCGGTGTTCTTTTGCAAGGATCAGTGGTCTATCAAACCTGATGTAGTGGTTGGGCCGATTTACAGTGTGCTCACAAACTGCAGACTTGTTTAATCTACTATGTTTTATGTCAGCTATATGTTCTTTCACGCGGGTTTTTATAGCTCTTTTCGTTTGTCCTATGTAAGAGAGCCCACATTCACAGTCAAGTTTGTACACTCCTGGATCTTGCAGAGGGATATTACACTTGACAGATGGTAAAAAACTGACTAATCTTCTTCAGCGGCTTGTAGAATGTATTAATTGAAGCCCGCTTTAAGATATAGCCAATCTTGTCGGTGACTCCTCTGACATATGGTAGAACAGCAGGTACTCGCTCCACTGTGGCTGGTTTCACTCGGTCACTGTGACGTAGGCGCGGTGCTCGAAGTTTGTTGTCATGCAGAACTTGCTTGACATGTTGAAGCTCAGCGGCCAGGTGTTGTTACTCTTCCGGCATGTTATTCTCTTTTAGCTTCCTTGTCTGACTGCATCTCAATTGTATTGAGATGCAGTCTTCTAATGGTAGGCATGTAAATGAAGACTGTACATCAAAACTGACCATTGTTTCATTGTCAGCAAGACATAGTTGTTTTATCTCACTAACAAAATGGTAAGAATCCTTTGTGTATGCCCGTTTTTGCATTGCTTTTATTTAGTTGTTTCGCGCTGATTTAATGTATACATGCAGTTTTGGTAATCAAATGCCGTTAAAATTGTTTTAAGCTGACTGGATGAATTATCTATGGCAGAATTAATGACACATAGATCGGATGGTTATGAAAACGTCGGATTATAATTTGAAAATACAACAACTGTTGTCGGATGTAAGCACGTATAAAAAGGTCAAAACAGACCCAACCACTAAAACGCTTAAATTAACTAGCGATCTCATTAAAAAATACTCCGAAAAATTAAATCTAGACGTGAAATCGATGACACCTTCATGTGCTAAACCCCCTAAATTATATATATATACCATTTTGTTAGTGAGATAAAACAACTATGTCTTGCTGACAATGAAACAATGGTCAGTTTTGATGTACAGTCTTTATTTACATGCCTACCATTAGAAGACTGCATCTCAATTGTAACAAGGAAGCTAAAAGAGAATAACATGCCGGAAGAGTATGCATTACTACTTAAACATTGCCTAACATCTGGCTATTTGCTTTGGAAGGAGAAATTTTACATACAGATAGATGGTGTAGCAATGAGCTGCCCAGTATCTCCCATTGTCCGCTGACATATTTATGGAAGACTTTGAGGAGAAGGCCCTTCGCACAGCTCCCATTTATCCAAGGTTTTATAAGAGGTATGTAGATGACACCTTCACCATTTTACCAACAAGTAAATTTAATGCATTTTTAAATCACCTTAACTCAGTAAATTCCAAAATACAATTCACTATGGAATTAGAGAATAATAACTCTTTAGCTTTCTTCGATGTTTTGGTCATCCGCAATCCAAATAACACTATAAGTCACACTGTGTATAGGAAGGCAACCCATACAAATAGATACCTAAACGGTGACTCTCACCACCATCCATCCCAGTTAGCTATCGTGGGTAAATCTTTGTTTCAGAGAGCACAAGGGATCTGTGACAAACAACACCTGGCCGCTGAGCTTCAACATGTCAAGCAAGTTCTGCATGACAACAAACTTCGAGCACCGCGCCTACGTCACAGTGACCGAGTGAAACCAGCCACAGTGGAGCGAGTACCTGCTGTTCTACCATATGTCAGAGGAGTCACCGACAAGATTGGCTATATCTTAAAGCGGGCTTCAATTAATACATTCTACAAGCCGCTGAAGAAGATTAGTCAGTTTTTACCATCTGTCAAGTGTAATATCCCTCTGCAAGATCCAGGAGTGTACAAACTTGACTGTGAATGTGGGCTCTCTTACATAGGACAAACGAAAAGAGCTATAAAACCCGCGTGAAAGAACATATAGCTGACATAAAACATAGTAGATTAAACAAGTCTGCAGTTTGTGAGCACACTGTAAATCGGCCCAACCACTACATCAGGTTTGATAGACCACTGATCCTTGCAAAAGAACACCGATTCCTCCCGAGGATGATTCGCGAGGCTATTGAAATTAAAAAACACCCTAATTTCAATAGAGAAGAGGGTTGGGTACTACCAACAGCTTGGGATCCTATCATCAATAAAATTAAATCTAAGCCCAAAAGAACCACTACTGCAAGACAAGATACAATTAGCTCCCTCTGCATAGATCGGACACAAAATCAATAATACAAAAACTGACGGTAGCCCGGGTTAACTTTGACAATCAGACGTCTAACACCTCAGTCTGTCCCGTGACCATGAACGCTGTAAAGGGTTCGAAACGTCGGGAACTAAAATTAAAAATAAACGCGATAAATCCGTAAAATTAGTTTCATTTATAATGTGTAATCGCGTAAATACAAGAAATTATTATGAAAAACTACTTACTTATAAAAAATATTGTAGCATTATTCTTCACGATCATTTATATGTATAATAGTATCAAAATATCTACTTACAACATATTTTATTAAGTCAACAAACACTTCACGCGTAACGCACTTACAGTAATAAACTTTCTAATTTTTTTTTATGGCGTTCTGATTGAAAGTTGTGGGCAGTTAAATTTATTTCGTTCAATAATTTCCTAAAGAACGTCTCGTATGAAGCTATTTTTATAAACAAAATGCGCTAGTTGATGGTATACGGAATTTTTTTACACCATCTCGCGTAAATACATGGTTCCGTGGCGATGTACATAATGTTATTTTCTTGGTACTATAGTACCTGATGACTTTCTCGGTGATAGGATTCATATCCATTTGAATTGAAATTGATTATTCAAATGTCATATTGATTGACCATAGCATTTTTTGTTTCATAATCCTAGATGATATATCGAATATTATAAAAGTGACGACAGGAGTAGTGTTAACGTTAACCGTATTTTACATCCTATGACAGGAACGATCAAATAATGTTGCTATTTTTGTATTTTATCATTAAACTTAGTTTAGTTAGTTTTAGTAAATTAGTTTTTAACTCTTGAAACATTTAGAGATTTCCAACTACAGTTCATATGGCTCGGGGTTTTGAAGTTTAATTCCTACCTCTATTCTTTATATAGTTTGAATTCAATATTTCTTTTTCTTTTGTCGTAAGTAATTGATCATTGAATGATTTTTGTGTTGACGGTTTAAGCTCGGTTTAGTAAGTATATGGTTTATGGCAACTTGGCAACACTGCTATCGCGCAGTATCGAATTGAATGTGAGAGTTGTTGAGAATTGATTGTGACAAAGATGGAAGCCGAAAGTGTGGAAGCGGGTGATAAAAATCACTTGGGCAATGTTTTATCAGAAAATGAAATCTCAAGTTTGCCCGATGGATTTGCAAATAAAATAAATGCTTATATTGATACAAAATTTGAAGAATACCTGACCTCTAAGGCTCTGCTCGAAAGCAGTAAAGCACAGATAGGTAACCGGCGTTTTTTTTATTAATCATGAAACTATCCTTCGTCTCATTCGTTTATTTTAAATGACTACTATAAAAGGCTTAATTTTATCTTAAATAACAATTTTTTGTTGGAGGGTAGGATAGAATGTGGGTTTTACTTTAAACAGCTTTTGTTTTTGCTGTCAGAAGTGCTTTTAAAGTTATCTTTTATTGATTTATGCTTAGAAAGCGACTTTATGCAATGCGCAACTAGGTCTTTGTCACTTAATCTATTATTTCACTTTAGACTGCTCAGGTAATTTAGTAGAGCATCCATTCTTCTATTTATTAGATATTTTTCATTTTTTTGTAATGTGCTTAATGGTGTAAACCTATGTTAACAATAAACGCAAAGGCTAAGTTTAGTGATGTGCTATTGAGAATGCGAAATATGTTCATGCAATGTATGATATATTGAAATATAACTAGAAATGATGTTCTTTTAAGAATTTATATATATAGTTAAGGATTTCAACCCATAACTTTACATGTTGTTAAACTTGTTTTATTGTATGCATCCTACTAAATACCATATGAAATCCTACTAAACCCATATGTTATTAATGATTGTGAATTTTGTTTTGCCAAAGTTATGTCCAGTTTGAGTAAAATTTTCTTATTTAGTTAACCTTGAAAGTTGGAATTTTGTAGTAGATATGGTGATTTATTTGGTGGGCCTTAAATTTTTAAATTAAAGCTTTATGTTGGTGATGAATTTGAATAGGCATGACACAATATCCCAATACTTAACAATAAAAACTGAAATGTCAATGATGTTTCTTTATGAGTAGAATTTTAAATGTATGCACCATCATAATTATTACAGTTTATGAGGTAGCCAGCTATTCCAATTGTTTAGGCTCTGCTTTGTTTGTTATCTTTTTCATTCATTATTTTAAACCATAACAACATATTTCTGATAGAAAGTGAAATTATATTGTTTGTTTTCATTCACATTGATACTGACAAACATTTATTAACATTAAATACCTTTTTAATATATGAGTAGGCTACTGTCAATCTTTAACATTGATTTGAATTTGGCTTCACTTATGATTTTTAAAATTTCCTCAAATACCAAATGTAAAAAATTGATATTGGACTATATTCCTGTTTTTTGTTAAAAAAAATGGTAATGCACTATACTGTGCTTTGGTATAGAACCCTAAATGTTCCATACCCAAAGGGTAAAACGTGATACTATTACCGTCTGTCTACCTGTCTGTCCATCTGTCACCAGGCTGTAACTCATGAACCATGATAGTTAGACAGTAAAAATTTTTAGATTATATATTTCTATTGCCGCTATAACAACAAATATGAAATACAATAAAAAATATTTGTGGGGCTTCAGTGAACTCATGGTAGAATATGAAGAACCTGAAATATTGTATAACAAACATACTCATTGGGTTTCCTTTCAAGCTCTTAAATCTACGTCTACAGGATAATACAGAGTGTTGTTACCATCGTGACAATAAATGAACACACATATAGGGGATAACTTTTTAAAGTTGTATTAAACATTTAAATTCTTTAAACATCAATATTTACAGAGTTATAAAATTTTCTAAAACAAAGAATTTTAGAACATCCTTACCTATAAAAGCGTAACGTTAAAGTTCATTTGTAAAGGTTACAAAGCATATGAATGGGTTGAATGAATTTAAAAGAGACAAAACATACTGTTAGAAGGAGAGGCTTTTAATATGGTGCTGTGGCAATGAATGAAAAAGTCGGTAACGTCAACAAGCGTCGCCCGCGAAACGCCCTCATCGACCCGGTCGAGGAAGGGGACTTAGGTACGTCGGACCCTACCGTCGGGCGTCCCGCCGGATAACACTACACACACAGTTAGTGTAGCAACAAACACATTAGTTCGCCCTCACCTCCGAGCACGGCGAGACCAACACAACGCGTACACAAGGTACAACCGCGTTCCAGGACGGTCCTCACCGCCCCCAGCCACCGATTAGCTAAAATCACAGTCGACGGCCATCGGGGTCTCGGTCCGCACCGCAACTTCGATGGCCCTTAGATGACATGTCGTAGTTAAAGGCTCATGCGCTGCCCTACGCACAGCGGAGGGCTCAAACCCGTGGGTTCTGGCTAGTTCACTGGTTCTGCGTCAAATGAAGCTTTAATAGTCTCGGGACTGAAAGCACGAACATCAGTTAATAAAAAAAAAATGAATATGTCTCTGAATGTATGAATCAGTCAGATGTACTTGTATAGGTGTTACAAATTTTGTTTCTTTTTCCCAATCATCTTTGAGACAATGTTCTTTCGCAGGAATTTATGGTACAGCATGTTATATTTAAGGTGGTCACAATTTCTGTTTTGTCTTTTTATGGGTCTTAAGTAACTATTGTTAAATGCATAGAATAATACAAATAATTATTTTTTTGTCCCTTTATCTCCAATCAGTGGCAGTCACTTTCAGAAGATTTTTTGTAGGTGATGCGGTTATGTAGTCTTTCATCAATTGCATCTCATTTGGCTCTACCTGCTCCTTAGTCAGTGGGAAACATTGGTTTCCTAACAGGCATGGTGCTTGCCCTTATGAATTAGTTGGACAGCCAGAGGTTTGGCACAATTTTTAGCTTTGAGTGTATTTCTGTGTTGGTTACTGAACATGGTACATTATTTATTGAAGTAAAACTTCTTTAGGTGACTAAAGGGTAACTGAATGCTTTGGACGACAATGCAACGGAAACGCGTTACGGCGATGACGCTTTTATATAGCATTCGATTTTTAAATATTTTCCCTGTATGTATGTGTGTAACTGACCTATACATTTAAAATAAAAAAGAAACTAAAAATATATAAATAAAAATAAATTATTTAAATTAAATTATCTTATCCTTTAAACTGGTGGACGTCACAATAATGCCAAATGAAAGGGTACCCAAAAGGTAGCGTGATGTGTATATATATATATATATATATATATATATATATATATATATATATATATATATATATATAATCGGAATCTCGGAAACGGCTCCAGTGATTTTCATGAAATTTAGTATATGCGTAGAGTCGTGGGCGAAAAGTCGATCTAGCTAGGTTTTATTTTTACAAAATGTCCTTTTATGCCTATTTTCAGGGAATGAAAAATATCAGTAAATTTCGCCGCAAAAAGAAATGTTATAATAGCTCGATCGGTAATCGGGCGGCCACAAATCAAATGGCCGCGGTTCGTATCACGCTCATTTACACTTATTTTTTACTTTTTTTTCTATACCACATCATTTTCTTTATTTTTTTCTTTTTTTAATTCCAAAATACATGATTTACCGAAAAAAAAACCGAGCAAAGCACGGTCCTCCAGGTACTTATTAATTTTATATAAAAGAATATTTTACTAATAATTATTTATAACTTATTTTAAAATCATAATAATATTATTAATTATTTTAATGACTTTTTTTGGTTTTACTTCAACGGTGTGTAAAGATTTTGTTCTAAGTGTAATGTTTTACATTCTTTGCAACATTGGGATATTGGAGTTACTAGCAGTGCTTCATGGTTGGATTCCATAGGTCTCTACTGATTTTAGAATACTTTTGTAAATAAATAGTTTATTGGAATAATAAAGAGACAGATGAAGATCTTGTTCTAGGATGTCATAAGCATTGTATCTGTGTTAGGACTTAGTGGCTCAGTAGGAGTAAATATAGATGAATGGCGAAGAAACCCAAAGTGAGGCTCGTACCCAAACCACACTAGTTGTTACTCTTAACCATTTTGCATAAAATTTCAGTAGACTTGACTTTCCCATTTCCAGATTTTGTAGGAAGATTTGACAGCCAGCAAAATTCATGTATTATTTTAAAGTATGTTTTTTGGGTTATTAATAGTATCTAATTATTAAAATATGTAGAAAAGTTAAACTAGATACTATGAATAGTAAAACAGGGCAGATTACTGCAACATTGAATGAAAATAAAATTTTAAACTATATGCTTAGCTGACAGTTTTATCTCGTTTGAAGCATTAACGTTTCGATGACTCCGTGGCGTGGTTACCAAGGTATTGGCTTTGGCGTCGGAGGTCGTGGGTTCGATTCCCACGGGACAACTATTTGTGTGACCCACAGATAGTTGTTTCGCATCTGGGTGTTTGTCCACTTGAGATGTATGTTTGTAAAACATCCTTACAACACAGGATAATGTTATCCTTAAATAATGTTTTCGTTAAAAGAAAGGGCAATGTTTTATTTTAAAAAAAAAGTATCAGACACTTGATTCTATGTACCATTTCCAACCCTGATATAGTGTCAGAAAGAAATCTGGTTTCAAATTCAATTAGTAAAAGTAGTTATGTTTAATAATAACTACTAAATGATCTAACATGGACAAATAATATTTTTAAAGAGAACTAAATCTCACTTTAACCCGATAATAGATAATAAATAAAACTATTTTTATTTCAGGTGACAAAATAGCCACATCTGAAGCTACAATACTTGAACTAACATCTAAATATGAAGAAACATCAAAAAAATTAATAGTAGCCGATGAAACTGTAGCTGAACTTGAAAAGCAAGTTGGAACATTAAGTTCGGAACTGAATAAAGCAAATGATAAAATTGTTCGCTTGGAGAATGAAATTATATCTCTTAAAAGTGCTAGGGATGCTGCAGTTGATGAAAGAAATGATTTAACTCGTATTCTAGAAAGGCGAGAATCTGAAATAGAGAGGTTAATTGCCAATGAAACCTCTCTCTCGCAACAACTGCGCGCTGCTATTGACTCAAAGTGTGAAGCCTTAGCATTAAATGATGAAATCCAAAGTAGGGAATTATCTCTGCAATATCGTGAAAAACGTATAGAACAAGAAAGAACACTTTTAAATTCTCAAATATCAAGTCTTACCGAAGAAGTTAATAGATTAACCTCTGAATTGCAGGCACAAAGATTAAACAGTACAAGCAGGTTAGTTAGTATAGAAACTCAGTTATCTGAAAAAATAGAAGAACTGAATGCTGCAAATGAAACTATTGCACAGCTGAATGAAATTAAAAAGAATCTTAATAATCGTGCGGAACATCTTACGCAAAGATTAGTTGAGCAACGAGAGGTAGAAAATAAAATGTCAGAAAACTACAAGAAGGAACTTGATGCTAAAACCAAACTTGCTGATTTATTTAAAACAATGCATGACGATGCTGAAGCTAAAACTACAGAACTAACTGAAGGTATAACAGAATTACAGAAGCTTTTAAATGAAGCTACGGAAAAATATGGTGAATTAGAGACCAAGTATAAACAATCAGAGTTAGATCATGAAGAATTATTAGAAAAGAAGAATGAGATTATAACATCATTGAAGAGTGAATTAGAACACGCTAATGACATGCTTAAGGCAGCAGCTGCACAGAATTTAGATATGGCACTCAGTGACTTAGCACCTTCAGCAGCCACAGCAAGTAAACTTTTAAAATCTGGCATGTCATTGACTCAAATCTACTCACAGTTGGTTAAAGTTTCTGAAGAATTAAACCAGGAAAAAGAAGAAAATAGACGGCTTAATATAACCCTTAATTCGATTATCCAAGAGTTAGAAGAAAAGGCGCCGCTCTTACAAAAACAAAGAACCGATTATGAAGAGACTTTACAAAGCAACGCTGCCTTGACACAACAAATAGATTCTTTAACGATTGAATGTAATAGACTTAGAGATGACTACAGTGAGTCCTCCAAAATTGCAAGCCATTACACCAGGGAAAATTCGAAATTAAAAGGAGAACTAGCCGATTTGGGTCGACAAGTATGCTTTTTACTAAAAGAAATAGAACATAGTCGAGGTGGCTTATTAAATGGTGATCATGATACATCTCATGTTACAAATACATCCTCATCTGACCTTAATTCTTCTCGAATTATATCAAAAACACTTGTCACTTTTAGTGACATTCAAGAGTTACAATCTAATAATCAAAAATTGTTACGAATGGTTCGTGAGTTGACGGACAAGCAAGAAGAACTTGAAAGACACAAGGAACAGTTTGAGAGTGGGGAAATGGAGAATAAAATAGAAGCTCTTAAAGCTCGCATATTAGAGTTAACTGAAGCACAAGAAAGACAGACGAAGATGGTTAACGGTTTAATTAGGCAGCGTGATATGTTTAAGAAGTTATATCATGATCACATGAAAGGAAAACGCCATGAAATGTCATCAGTATTGGATTCTTCAGATATGGAAAAATCTGATTCATTCCCTGTCGAAACTACATTGCCCGAGAAATCGGCTAAACCTGTTCTTATGGAAGCAACAGCTTATGAAATTAAATGTAAGGAATTAGAAAAACAACTTGATCATTTAAAGGAGGAGTACAAAACATACAAAGAGGAGAAAGTAACAAATGAAAGAATGTTATATGAACAAATTGATAATATGAGACAAGAAATAGCAAAACTTACTGCTGCTAACAGCAAATGCTCATCCACCTCAGAGTATAATAATGAAAGACTTAAAATATTGCAAACTAACATTACCACTTACAAGAAACAAATAAGTACTCTAGAAGAAAAAAATAAAGCTTATAATGCTACTATCGCTAAACACGAAGTTTCCTTACAACATTTAAGGGATGAAGCATTAAACGCACAGAGTAAACTAGCTGCAGCTGAAATTCAGCTGGAAAATTTAAAACTTGAATGTAAACTACTTAAAGATGCTGAGCTTCGCGTACAGACAGAAAAAGAAGTACTTAACCGTGAGAGACAAGGACAGTCGCTATTATTAAAAAATTTGGAACTTATTAAAGCTAGTTTAGAACGCGTAGAAGCAGAAAATCGTGTCAAATTGGAGTCTAGATTGGATGAAGCTGCAAGAGAATGTTCCGCCTTAAGAAGAAGGTTGCAAGAAGAACAAGACAGATTCAGAGAATTAGCATCCCATTTGGAACGCCAAACAGAAACAGCAAAACAACGTATGCAAGAGGAAAAAGATGCCGCAGACTTGATGCGAAAAGAAATTACACAGCTTAGAAGTGACTTAAGTGAAAAGAATAAATCAAATGAAGAACTTGCAAAGAAACTTAAAGTTGCTCTTGCTCCAAATACTGATAGTGCTTTAGATACTATAAAAAAAATTAAGGAATTGGAAAATAAACTATCTGAGAAGGAAAGCGCAATGAAATCTCTTACAGATCAATTAAATATAGCAAAAGAACATATAAAACAATATTGTGATATTTCAGAAGGCGCTGAAAAACAAATGAAGGCTCTTAGCCTAGAATACGAAAGTTATAAAGTCGAAACTGAAGCAAAACTCACAGAATATGCTCAGAAAGTACAAAGTCTGGAAGAAAAATGTTCAGAACTAGAAGCTGAATTATCACTGCAAAATAATGGAGAGTATTCAAATATTAATGTTAACTTAAGGAATGAATTAGCGAGTTGTAAAGAAGAATTAGCAACGGCATTGTCCAATTTAGAGTCCAGTCGTGTTGATTTAGAAAGTGCTAGATCAGATATTAGTAAACTGTCCGAAGCTGTAGCAAAAAGCTGAGGATAAGTATAGTCATGAAATGATATTACATTCTACCGATATTCAAACACTTACTCGTGTAAAAGAAGAGTTCTCAAATGTTCAAAATCAATTAAATGAACTAGTAGTCTTAAAAAATAATACAATTGAAAAATTGGAATCTGAAAAAGCCTCATGGATTGAGCGACAGAAGGCTGTCACAAAAGAAAACGAAGAGCTATTACAAAGATTAAAAGACCTTAATGAACAAAATTCAGTATTGCATGATCAGATCCAGGCTTTGGGTACACAATTGTCAGTTACTCATGCATCAAGATCACATTCTGAAAGTATGAACGAGTCTGCTAATGATTCTAATGTCAATATATCCATTTCCGAAGAAGATGGAAAATCATCTGAACAACTTTTCCAGATAGTTAAGTTCTTGAGAAAAGAAAAAGATATAGCAATTGCCAAATTTGATATATTACAAGCAGAGACTATGAGGTTAAGATCGCAATTAGAAATTACCGAGAAACAACTTGATGATGTTAAATTGGCACTTGCAGCTGAAAGAGAAAGGTCTGAAGTGAATATAGTGACAGTCAATAAACAGTCTGACATATTAAGAAAAGTAGAGACACTTAACGCACTGACAGATAGTAACAGAATTCTAAGAGAAGAGCGGGACAACTTGTCGGCTCGTGTTGAAGAACTTACTAAGTCCATAAAATCTTTAGAAGACCAATTAAATCCTTTACAAGACAAGATCTCAGATTTAACTTCTAAGAATGAAACATTACAATCTGAAAATACCTCTCTTAAATCTGATTGTGCAAGATGGAGAACAAGAGTGAATGCTTTGGTTGAGCGTGCAAATAAAACTAGCCCTGAAGATTGGAAACGTCTGCAAAATGAGCGAGAAACTCTTGCTAAAATGTTAACAAATGAAAAAGAAGCACTGAAAAAAGTAAATGAAGAAATGGGGGTTATTAAAATAGAGAAGTCGAAACTAGAAGAGCAATATACAGTATTATCAAGACAGCAAAACGCTTTGGTGGAAGATAATAAGAGATTAAATGAAGAATTACAGACCCTTAAGGATGATATGGCAAGACTTACTGAAGAACTAACAAAATTAAAGACGGAAAATAGTTCTCTTTCTGAAATAAATGCAAAACTAACTGAAGAATTGAGTAGCAAGGATGCTTCATTGAGCGATATAAGAAATAAAGAAATGCAAATAAGAAAAATTGCTAAAAAATACAAAGGTCAATATGAAGAACTTGTAAAAACAGTAGACGAAGATAAGAAAAAGTGTGAAGGGGAAGCGGCAGCCGCGGGTGTTGTGTTAGCTGAAAACTCTAAAAAACTTGAAGATCAACTGAGTGAACTTCAAAGTCAACTGGAAGTGGAAAAAACAAATAACGACAAGTTGAAACAAGAACTTGAAGCTTTACGTACAGCTAACATGGATAAAGAAGAAAAAGCAAAACAGGTTTTGAAACAAGCAAAGAGCAAAATAGTCCAACTGACTGAAATGAAAAATACTCTGAGCCGGGAATTAGACGAGTCGCGAAATAAAATAGGAGCCATCGAACAAAGCACCCGCGATGAGCAAGATGTTAGATTGGCTTTAATAAAATCACAATACGAGGGTCGACTATCTCGTTTGGAAAAAGAACGTGGTGAAGCACAAGCCGAAAAGACGAGAGAGGTTGAAGCTCTGCTTCAGAAAGTGAACATGCTTCAAAGGCAATTGGCCAATCAAGCTTCTTCGGGTAAACAGCAAACCACCACAGAAAAATCCACCACAGACCCACCGACGGCTAACATTAAACCTATGGCGGGTAAGATAATAAACCAGAAAAAAAAACTCATAGTCTTAACCTTTTTTAATTCGTATATACAAGTGTATTATTTAGAATGTTGACCAGTAAAATCGTGATCAACCCGACCAGGCGTAGCGCAGCAGAGCGTGACGGCGAGCCGCCGCGGCGGGGAGACCCCGCTGGCTTCGATCCGGCCGATGGCGCAGGTCGGCCCGACGGCCCCGCACGACGCCCACACCACCGAGTACATGCCAGCGTCATCGTCGCGCCCCTTGCCGCGCGCCGCCCTGGCCGCGTCCGCCGCTTCGGCCGCCTCGGCCACCGCGCCCACCTCCGCTGCAGCGGCCACCTCGGCCACCTCCGCCCCGCCAGAGTCCACCCAGGTACGACCAACGCACGATACCCAAACATCACGGATTTGGATGACATGACATTGCATATGAATACGAAATGGCAGCACTGTTCGCTAGTGTACTTCTACTGCCACTACTGGCAGCAAGACACAATTCAGTCTGCGGCGCGAATGAGAAGGCAATACTATTCTCTGCTCTCTCCTTGTAACGTCTCTGAAACAGTAAAATATCTACTGCACATTGTTTTGAAAGGAACTAAGAGTGGCGTTTAAGTTTTTGTTTATTCTTTGTTCAATATTCCCTTTCGTGTTCTTTAATTAATCGGAGTAATGCTTGGCCAATATTTGTTAATGCTAGTAAGTGGACGTCTACTTGCACTATATTTTGTTCTTAACCAGGACATGGATACAAGCGAGGTTGGAATGGGCAGCTCCGGATCTAGCGATAGTACTGCACAATCTTCTTCACATTCCCAGCCACCGCAACAGGTCTGTTACATACATATGAGAGTTTATTTTGTTATTTCTTTAAGTATTAAATGATGAATTTTTTGTACAATTTATAGTACAAGATTGTTTATTTGGCATTATGTCGACTGATGTTCAGCTCACCAACACATGTATGAAAAAAATCACGAGATTTGTACCTTTTTTTCGTTTGGAATTTTAAACATTTCCGCATCCGCCATTAACGTCGGAGATATTTTGATCTTATTATGGGGAGGACAGGAAAAAGACTCTTGACATGTTTCCAAAAATACAGTACGATAATCGATGTTTCGTTAGGCGGTAGCCTTAGTGATGCCGCGCATAGAGCAGCCTAGCGGTGGGAGCTCCAGCGTAGCCCCGACGGCAAGTTCAGCCGCGCCTAGCGTCACCAGCCAAGTTGCTGTCGCTGCCCCCGCCACTCCACAATCCGGTAATTAAAGCACTTCGTTACAATAAGATAGTAAATAACAGCGTATAAAATATGTCCTACTGCTGATAAGGTCTCTGTACAGAGGATACTAGACTATTGCTTAGTCACTACGCAACCCCACTGCAGATTGGCACGATGTTTTATTTTGCTGCTCAGCACATGGTAAGTCAGCATTTAAAATCACAATGAAGAATTTGATTGGTGTCGGAAACAATGGAACTAAGATGGTAGGTATCTCGATTATTGAATTAAAAACGAGAGCCTGGAAACTGAGCTACCATAGCTTTAATGACGCTACTGATAGTATTGTATGAGTATGGTGTAGGGTAGTGTTCGTATTTTTTTATATATGTATTTACAATTTTTTTTTTATATTGACCTTGCTGTAAGGTAATATTATCATAGTAATATTATATAATATAATAAAAATGATATACTGTGCAAGGACCTTTTATACACATAAATTCCTCGTGGATCCCAGATCCGAAACCACTATCTCTGGGTCACAGAAATAGTTGCCCCGTGGAGTAATCGAACTCGGTGACACCCGGCGCCAAAGCCAGAACCTTGGCCACTCCGCCATGAAGTCATCAAATCTAGGGGCCTTTTTTTAGAAAAAACTGTTCTGTAGGAGCGACAAGCGCGACCCAGACATCAGCGGCGGTCGCGCAAGCCTCTAGCGGCGTCAGCACATCACACGCTCCGCCTGGCGTCAGCACTTCTCACACAGCACCAGGCGTCAGCACTTCCCACGCGGTGCCGGGCGTCAGCACTTCCCAAGCGGTGCCGGGCGTTAGCACCTCGCAAGCGGCGCCCGGCGTCAGCACCTCGAATGCCCCGCCCGGCGTCAGCACTTCCCACGCGCCACCCGACGCCCGCCCACCGAAGCGGCGACTGCAAGCCAGGCCCGTCACTTCCAAAAGGACACGCGTACAGGTAAAATGTCGTCATACGTTATATATATAAAAGATGGCTTACGAGAATTTTTTTTTCTGTAATAATAATGTTGGCTTCCAATTATTTTTAAAGTGTTTTATGTTTTGATTATTTAGGGCTTTGAAAGGTCTTTAGAAGTAGAGTATCAAGTACCGACATCGTCACGTTGCGATCAAGACGACGAGGGAGTCATTGTTGTGGACTCTGAGGAAGACGACGAACGTTGCACTGGCACCATGTACAGGGTAAATGTTTGTTGTAATCTTTTTTTTTTTTGGCTAAAGGTAATTAGGAACGACATTTCCATACAAGACAAAATATGTCATGAACCTCTTGAATTGTTTTAAAAGTACAAAAAATAAAGTGTTATGTACTTGTAAACACGAAATATATATTTGACATGACGACGAAAACACGTGCCTTTAGTGAACGCAATCTTTTCAACAAATCTTCTTAACAAATATTTTATTTGAATAACACACACTGAATGTTGATATATTTTTGTGACCCTTTCTGAAATCAATTATGAAGATTATCAAGATTTATTTAAATAAAATTACAGTTAAAAAAACAATAAATGTATAAGATATTATTCAAGTCAAAATCTTTATGGAGATAACATATTGTTGTCTTTTCTTACAGGAAAGAAAAATGAAGAGATATGAAGTAATTTTTGATGACATAGATATTTCTCTAAAGCTTTGTTTGTTGCAGGAGGGTGAAGAAGATGATGAGGAAATGGAGGAAGAGCAGGAAGTGGAAGCTGGTGAAGAGGAAGAAGAGACTGAGGGAGACGATGCTGAAAATGCCAGACAGCGGGTTAGACACTTATTACATCAAGATCATATGTTTTCCAGTTACATAAATAAATTCCTATCTATTCATAATTAATTATTCTTATAGCTTAACGCATATTTTCTTCGTTCAATGACTACCCAAATTACATGGAAATCAATTGGTAAATGAAGCTAAGTGAAAATATGTGAGTGCAAGCGCCCTGTAACGTCTTCGCTCGGTCACACTGCTCTCGAAACTGTATTGAAGTTATAATTAATTAGGCGCATTTGGGAAAAATGATAAGAGTAAATTTTTACGACGCGCGATATGGTGTTTAACAAAAACTTGACGTTCACCTATAAGCCAAGATATTGAACTGTTATCAATTCCATTTATTGAACTTTTTTCACAATCAAAGAGTACTGGCACACGTTATAAATATTTTAGTCATTTTTCTTTTGTTACTCTGAATAAGTATAACTTATTACGTGCGTGCACAAGTGCACGCGTACGGTTTTTTTTTATTTACTAATTGAATGGCGGTCAGGAGTCTCCGGCGCAATCTCCGGAAGCGGGTGAGGCGGCGGAGGAGGGCTCGCCGGGAGAGGGCGCGGCGGGAGCGGCGCGCGAGGCCGACAGCGAGCCGGCGCCCCAGCACCAGCAGATCGAAGCCATCAGCAGCGGCACCGAGCGTGAGTCGCCCGCAAGACACTTTATTCGTATCTATTATTTCCATGCATCGATATATCGATTAAAAATTTCAAGCGAACAAAACACACAGCTCGCAATCGACTAAGAAAACCGAAGATTCATCTGGCTACCCTAGGCTTCTAGATAACGTATCAATTTATTTTTCATTATATCGACATGTTACTTTTAGAAATTAAATAACGATATAATTTAAAATCACTGACGTATCAGTGGAGCCATAGTAGGAAAAAGAAAAAAAAAAAAAGATATAATTTGCGACGACCTGGATGCTCAGATCGCCATGTGGTAAATTACACTAGCTCTTACAAGGTTCCTCCATGAATGTTTGGATGTGGTTTATCTATGAGAAAACATATTTTGGGATAATGAAAAAGAAACTAATGTCAATATACCCTATATAAGCTGTTATAGTCAAATTTTATATAACTCCTTTGTGATAGAGCTGTAATACAAAAGTTAATTTATAAAAAAGTAAAGGATTGGTCACACTATGTTATAAGCTTATGGCTTTCTACTCAAAGCGTAACATTTAATTCAATAATAATATGCTTTGTTCATTTTGAAGTGTAATATAAAATAAATAATAAGAAAACAGAGTAGAAATGTAGTCCCGAAAAATACAAATACAGCAGAAATAATCTGTAACATATAGATGAAATATATTTACATTGAGCCGTGATAGCTGTGTCCGGGCCCTCGCCTTTAATTTAATATACTCGAGCAACCTGAGTTCGATCCCCAGTGCCAGCACCAATGAAGTTTTTAACTTTAAGTGCTGACTTATCACGTGCTCCGCGGTGAAGGAAAACATCGTGTTGGCAACACTAAAGGAAGTCATTCATTGAGGTTGTTGGCAACACTAAAAGAAGTGTCATTTTGTGAGATATAAATGAAGGTGCAAGAAGCATTTCATGGTCTTGGTGGTCTTCGTCGTAGTCGTCGCCATCTTTGGCTGTCGAACAAGAAGTATACACGATAGTGCTGCCCAATCGGTATCATAAATTTAATCGTTAGAGTGGTGTTTCATTAGTGATATTAAAGTGATAAAATAAGTAATTATACCAGTGTTATTGTTTTGCAAAGTGAAACTACGGTAATTTGGTAAAAGTATTTATATTTCTACCTTCTTAGCTCGATAAAACAAAGTATAGCTAACAATCGTGAGAAAACCTGCATGTTTTCGAAATAATAACAATATAAAAATCGAAGATATGTGAAGTCAGCCAATCCGCAGTGGGGCCGCGTGGTGGACTATGATCTGATACCCTCTGTATAGAGGAGGCCTTTGCCCAGCAGTGGGTTATTTATAGGCTGTTACTTTACTTTATTTATATTATGTACCTGTATGTAGCTCTATTTGATTAAGGCAGATTAGACATGATTACCGCTTGAGGGATCTCTGAATCTGTCAAACACTTATAACACTTTCTTATTGAATGTATCATTCATATACTAAAGTTAATGTAATGAAAATACAGATATGAATAAAAAATATATTGATTTTTCTTTAACAGCAAGTGGCACCCTCTCTCTGGGTGGTAACGGTGGAGACGACGGTGATGACAGCATTGTGCCATCGACTCCAACATTATATGTTCCAAGACGAAATGATGGGTATTCTTTTTTAATTATTTTTTTCACTTTTTAACCTTTATTAACTTTATTGCCTTTCTATTTTAAAATGTCTGTAAAGCTAGCTCTTCTATATTGTGTAATAGCTTCCCCACTCAAGTATTATACTTTTGATAAAAAACATATCTTTTTAAAAGAATTTATTCATAATGAAATAGAACAAAGGAGAATTATCATTTATCAAAGTTTGATGACATATAAAATATTGTGTGTTATAAATAAAATTAGATGGTATAATAAAAATTTAATTTTACACACCATAGGCCTTAGTATTTACATATTACAAAACAAAGTCTCCGGTTTACTGTCTGTTTGAACTTTAAAACAAAAACACTGATCTTGAACTCAACAGAAGACCGCTGTGAAGTGGAAGCGTGATAATCGGAGCGCGTTCTATTGAAAGTTTACAACGTATATGCAAACCAACGGCTTCCTCACACAAAAAACCCCACGGCGCAGTTTCGGCGAGGCGGTGGTGTCCCCGCTGGGCGCCGGCGGCGACGCGGAGGCGGCGGGCGGCGCGCGCTTCACGTTCGCCGAGGGCGCGGCCTCGCACCACGACACGCACGCCGACCTCGCCGCCGCGCTGCCGCCGCCGCACGCCGCGCAGCCGCCGCACGCGCGCCCCCACCCCGACCGCCGTCAGTACACGCCCCGTTCGTGGCCCCTCCTTCATAACCCGTTCACGACGTCCGCTCCAATCAATCCAATCCCGTAGTGCGCGTACTCAAAATCAAAATCAAAAATCAAAAACATATTTTCTTATTCACATAGAGCGCTTGCGCGTTCTTACGGAACCTCAACATTTTACATAAAAATTAATACGTTCGTAAGTAAGCTACCAACTGTAGGCACCTAAAGTTAAACCAGAGTTTGTGCCACCATGGGCCTTAGTCTAACCCATTTTCCGCAAAGGTGCAATATCCCATCACCTATAATGTTTTGAAACTATATGTGATGATAATAACTTTGGAAATATTAACCTTCAACAGTCATAATATTCTGGTTTCTATAAATATTTAAGGCGCAGAGGGTAGTGAATCTCGCGAATGGGAGGAATCCCGCGCTGAAGAAGAAGCCGCTGCGGTCAGTTCGCAGGGAAGTGAACCTTCGTCCCCACATCAGGTAAGTCCTCTACTGGCTACTGGCTACTGGCTTGTCTTGAGAAGTAGAAAGACTTCGCAGATTTCCTCCATACATTAGAAGTACTTAGTATTAAGATGTTGCCAGGTGAGTGAGTTAAAGGGTGAATCACCATTACAGTTGATTCTTCGTCTTTTTCTTCTTTATAAAAAAACATGGCCCTTACTTTGGGATAACATTATCCTGTTTAGTAAGGACATTTTCCAAACATGGGTTGTTTTGTGCTTTATTGTGGCGACTCAACTGAACGGAGCAGTCAATAATACTACGATGTTAATTTGCAATGTCGTTGTTAATATATACAGCGTGTCGTTACCATCGCGACAATAAATGAACACACATATAGGGGATAACTTTTTAAAGTTGTATTAAATTTGATGTTTAAAGAATTTAAATATTCTTTAAACATCATTATTTACAGAGTTATTAAATTTTCCAAAACAAAGAATTTTAGAACACCCTTACCTATAAAAGCGTAACGCAAAGTTCATTTGTAAAGGTCACAAAGCATATGAATGGGTTGAATGAATTTAAAAGAGACAAAACATACTGTTAGAAGGAGAGGCTTATAATACGACGCTGTGGCGCGAGTTGTATAGGATGTTACAAATTTTGTTTGTTTTTTACTTAATTAGTTTGTTTGAAAAATATTTTTTTTTTAATTATGGATTTTGTTTAACGTTAATATTTTTTTATGATTATTGGCAAGTAGCGTTAGACGTGTGTTCATTTATTGTCGCGATGGTAACGACACGCTGTATATGCTATTTGAAAAAAAAATACAGTTATTCATGATGTATAAATAATTGTACTTATAATAGAAATTTTAAATTGTTTATAGTGCTAATCTTTGCACTTAAGATTGAACATTAAAATATGTAGAAAAAGTGCGAAAAGATTGTCGCCCTTGTGGGAATCTTTTCGCACTTTTTCTACATATTTTAATGTATTTATAATATTCAAATATCGATCTATAATTATCCTATTTCTTTATAAAAAGAAAAGTATGTTTAAGGAGGTTAATCTGTTACCTAGTAGAGATTGAAGGAACTTACTTTTGTTTGGGACTTGTACAGAAATGTGTTTTTTTATGTGAGATGGTGACTAGAGTGTCGATGTTTCTAATAAAGTGGGTTACCACACTCATGAGACTGTTTTTCTAAATCGGGTTAGAGATCAGCCTATTGTGCTCTAAAGAATAGTTTTATGTTTCTATTGTCAACAACCCATTTCTGAAGAAACCGTAGACCGCGCGGTCTCATTCCGCCGTAATGTTGCCACCGTGACCCGTAAATATCCATGCACGGGCGTGTCCCGCACCAGCCGGCGCAGATAGCGGAGGAGGGCCGCGAGGCAGAGGCGAGCTCGCCGGCCTCTACGCCACGGCGCACCGCCCACGTGCAGTCGCAGGTCCACGCCGCCGTGCATTCTCCCCACCAGCGCTGGATGCGCGCCGCCGGTACACCAACCCACCAATCAAACAACACATCAAGCTACCCCACCAATTACACGAGACTATCAGCCTTTTTAATGATGGAGGGAACTCTTTAAAATATACCCTGTCACATGACAGGTTTATTTGGTGTTTGTAATTAACTTCCCCGGTGGCTACCTTCTGTACGTTTGGAAGGACTCCGTGATCAACTAAGAACGCACGCCTCGGGGAAAGATAAACTTTCCCAGATTCCCTCACCATCTTGTGACAATACGTGATTACATTGTTACCACTGCTGGTCCAGTGAACCCAGCTCAACGTCTTCCAACCCAAAAGCTGAACCAAATCATCAATCAGTCCTATTTATTAAATCGTTCTGATAATGTCAGAGTACAACAAACTTGAAAATTCTTTATTGAATATGCTTCATTTGTAGATAAGAATAGAAAAACATATTTTGAATCAGTCGCTCATCTATCATATGTGTTCTACACAACCGTTCATTTGAATTTGCATGATTTTAAATGTTTCCATAAAAGTGAACACTTTCATTTAACCATAAATAGACATTCAAAAATACACTTCTCTTTACTCTTTTTGATGCCATGGTATGATAAAAACTTGACATTATTTTATATAATTATATATTTTATATTATGAATTTAAAAGTATAGCACTTCATACTAATTAATCAATTCACAAAAGTGTGAAAAGACTGCTTTGTCTTTCAAGAGAGAAACATTTTTGAGACCAAGACATCCAGAATAATAAAGAGACGTGTTTTTTTTCTTCATTTATATAAATCGCTTAAACCACAATACTTGTACTAAACACATTTTTGTATTTTTTGATCAGACACGATGCCCCCCACCCGCAGGTAAAGGATTATCCATTACTAATGCTACATCCTCTGTTTCTTTTTGACATTAACAAAATTATATTTTACATATTAACCAACATTATTATTGCTGCCAAAAGTTACATGTCCAAAGAAATAATTATTCAAAATAGGCCAAAATTATGAACCATCATTAAACCACTTGTCACCACTAATTGTTCATGCATTATAGTGTAAGCTCTAATTAAATATAATTATTGATCTATCTTCTTCCAACTCTATGGTAAACCATTTCAACCTTGGTGTTTATTACAGATAGTGAAAGCGGACCACGCGGTCGTGGTATGAGGTCTCGAGGTCGACCCTCAAGGAGATCGCACTACATGAGGTTCTAATTAAGTTCGGTCTATTAGATAATCATCCTATTTAATTTGCCAATGGATATAAATTAATTTGTTTGTAAGTTATACCTGACATGTGTCGCCATTTTCATGTAATTTTTTTTCTACATCTTTAGTTCTGCTTGTATTGTTCTGTAGGCCATTTTATAATTCATTATGTGGTATTGGAATAATACAGTGGATTTTTTTATGTATGTGGGAAATTGTGATTATGAAAGTAAAAATGGATTTTTACTCTTATTAAAATAGTATTTGCATAGTTATATACCATAAGCTATGATTAAAATATGTTTCATTCACTACATAACTAATAATACATATATATCTTATAGAATAGATTCCTGATTGTATTTGATGGTATTGTCTACTATATCTACAATAAATATGACATTGAAGGGCTTGTGATGTCACAGCATTCATAATAAACTTGAAACTTCAAACGTGTTAGTAGTATTTATTTCAATCTATAATTGTTTCGGCATTTAATAATTCTATATGGTTTAGTGTTGTAAGATGAACATTTCCATTCATGATTATAGTATTGTCAATAAATTTATTTCAATGAAATATGTTTACTTTTTACTAAGCATTCGTCCCTTAAAAATCATTGGCTAACTGACACAATGCTTGTTGTTCAGTTTTGTGTTGTTGTGTTTGTTTTTTCTCGAGTTTTTTTTCTTCTTTTACCTCTTCTCCAGTCTTCACGTCACAATAGATCAGATCATTGTTTAAGTATATCATTGGTTTCGATGTCGACATTGAACACGTTAATAGTAACGTTTACACGTTAGTACCAGTTGAATATTCATTCTAGTTAATTTCAAAAGAAAGTACCTATATGAATTCATTCTGCTTTTATAATATTTCTTCGATTATTACTTTACGGGATGTGTTTTAGACAGGCGCAGCAAGCATCTTCAGCAACTAATAACGGATATTAATTCTATAAGCGCTTACGCTATCCCGTTCATTGTGTCCAAGGTCAATGCAGCTGTGAAGAATTGACAAGCGGTATCTGTAACCGGGGTCATTTATAACTTATATTCAATATCATTGTTTTAAGTACCTATGTGGTTTCAATTTGCAAAGGTAGAGACTATTACTGTTTACTCTGATTAGATAAGAATTGTCAAAACTAAACGACGGAACTCCAGGATCATACAACTAAACACTCAGCGGGCCCCCATCGGTTGATTTTTGATGTTCAACATATTGGGACCAAGGGATATTTTTGTCTCTTAATGAAACCGCTAACGGGGCAAAAAACTTATTAAAATTTTATTCTTTCTTTTTATGTTTTATATTTTACTCAACCAAATTGGCAATAAAATTCACATCGTTATCTACCATCAGTTGGGAATCAAGACCTATTCAGTAAAGCAGAATTTCTTTTTGGCTGTGAGATATATCAATGTATACATTATGCAAATCCACTGATTATCACATTGTTTTCAAGTCTTTTACGTTTAGCTTATTTGGGAACAATTTAAATGAACTATACAACAATACCAACTTATTTGCATTAACCTTTTTTATATATTTTTATACATGGGGCGTAGGATAGCAATATTGTCATTTATTGGTTTACCAAAAACATGAAGTTTGACCAGAACTAAATATTAATAAGTTTGGAACAAGAAATCACACATTTTAAAACATACTTGTGAATCTTTAAGGCTTTTCAACTTTGTTTTAATGGAAAAGGCCAAGCAACTTATCTGATGATAGATTACCACCACCACCCATGACCAAGAAGGATGACACACCATAGCAGTTACAAATATCTATTTAATAATTTATTAATATCAATATTCAATAGCTATTTATTCAAACTTGATAGAGGTTCTACTCAATTACCATCAATGGCCCAAATTCTATTATTATAATAAATTTAAACAAAATTCTGAAGTAAATTTTGTGATAAATATCATATGCATTTGGTAACTAATCAATGTAGGTATGGAAAAATTTTGTTTCACATACATAACTAATCATTTTTAATGTAAATTGTTGATGTTAAAATATTCACTAAAATACTTCCTATTATGCACTTTAAGAAACTCGATTTTCAATATTAAATAGAAGCATTCTTTAGGCATATGTCAGAATACCCTAGAGAACCTTACATTTTTTCTTCAGAAATATAAGTACAATTCACTTACAAAATGCTTCAATTTGTCAAGTCATTTACCTCAGAATCCTTAGATTTTGCTGTAGTTTTTTTATTTTTTTATTAATAAGGTAATGTTAGTTACATAGTAAAATAAAAACAGGGTAATTAAAGATACATATTAAAACTTGTTATCATTTTTGCATAATTTTATTGTTTGTTACAGAATTTAATACACATATTCAAACAAAGAAAAGGAAACAATGCAATACTTTTGCCCGAATAGTTGAAACTTCTAAAAACTATAACATTGCATTTAGATGTGTGAAAATTGCAAAAAAATTCAAATATCACCATTTAAAACATAATACATCAATATTGCTAAGCCTTAAACCTAAATACTCGCCATATGTAGACATTTTATTCCACAAATGGCATTGATTAATGGATTTTTATAATTGGTAGAGATTAATTAATAACCATACACATTCTCGTCGGAAAATGCAATGTATAAGAAAAAGTCTTCATCATGATGCTCCTGGTACAAGGAGCCCATTGTAGCGGAGGTGGGAGGAATAACATTATTAACAAAAAAGAAAAGCGCGTCTTCGGGCCGAAGGTGAATGCGTTTTCTAATCAAAAAGTAAAATTGCCCCACAGTTAAATCAGACGGCACCAAATACTTCTTTTTGTCCAGGTCGCCAAGTCTAGCCTTCGGTGCTTTCTCTACAATTACTGGAACGCGATCCGGATATTTTCTGCGTATTTTTTCACCTTCGGTCTTCCTCTTCTCGAAAGAATGCTCTTCTTTGTATTGAAATTTCATTTTTAGGCTATATCCACACTATAATTTCCAAATTAGTAGAGCTAAATCAGAATTGCGACTTGTTTTTTGTTTTTGCGTTATTGTTTTAAAAATGCAGTGACGCAATCAGCTGATATGACAACATTGACTAAATCGACGATTCTTCGAGTAGGCTGTATATAATGGGACAGATAAATATAAAACTAAATAATAAAAAATCCAGACAAAAATTAAATATTACAAGAAGCGAATGACTATTCCGGAATCGATTATTTTCAGTATATAGCTTAGAAAAGCGACAAAATCTCTATTAACCTTTCTTAATGATGTTAATTAGCATCAATCAAAGCTTGCTCCTATTATATTTTGAATAGACGCGTTGTACAATATTTTTCCTATATCGATATTTTTAATCAATGTTTTCATCGATATATCGATACAAAATATTCAGTAGACAAAACATTAGCAATAACGATGAATTTTTCTCAAATTTGAATCAGACAGAGTATAAAATATTTGTTACTTGACATGTACGGCTTCCTCTTGTGAAATTTCGTTACCGTACAAATACTGGAAGGCAGGAAATAAATTAGTCTTAAATTTTTGAAGTTTTTTTTGAAGTTGTTTTTTTTTGACGCGTTTAGAAAAATTTATACGATGGGCATGCACCGAAATCGACATGGCGATGTTGGTTGTAAATGTAAAGATTTTAAAGTCATTTTCAAATGTCAACTGGCTCTAAACAAATTTAAATAACATTCAAATAACCGTGGTAGAGCCACGCAGCAGCCTCGGCTGTTGCACAAATGGGCAGGCTCGTCCGGGTAAGTACCACGACCTCACAGAAGACCGGTGTAAAGTGGAAGTATGTTTTCAATTTCCAAAAAGATTGTCACCGCATCTGCAAACCCTCGGGTGTAGCAGATGTCTATGGGCAACGGTATTCACTTAACATCAGGTGAACCGTCTGCTCGTTTGGCAACTCTTCACATAAAAAAAATAAGGAATAAGAAACCTAAAACTAAAAACCATAAAAAAAAAAAAAAAATACCTAAAATATATTATTAACCTTTGGCTCGTCGGAACGTAGATCTGCGCGCCAAATTATGCTTCCGTTGACTGTCGGAACGTAGATCTACGCCAGATCGTATGTGGTAAATAGTGAGCTGTTTGCTGACTAGATAGAGTTAATATAATTGCGTTCACATTTCTCTGATGCATTGTGTTGTGACGACTTATGTTGTGTCACGTCAAAAGCGATCCCGGTCTGCGTCAGGACGGGTGAGGTGCGGGGGACGGTGCAGTTGGACTAATGTGCACGCGCTTGTGTTGTGTTTTGACGCGTCAGCAAGGCCATACCTTTTCTAAATTGCTTATATTGTAGACTATGGAGTTGATCGAATACGTACGACAATATAAAGCCATTTATCATACCACATATTCTTCATAATCTGAATCTGAATCGGATGATTCATGAGAAAATATTGCGAATGTGTAAACTCACTAAGAGCCGAGATAAAACTGATTGAAAAAACGGTCATAACGCGTCATATAAATGTGAACAGTAACTATCATGACAGATAGCATCACGACACAACACGTCAGACTAATGTGAATGTGGCCTAACACTAACACTGTAATTCGTCGAGTCTCCATCGATATACTCTTTTACTCGGTCACCGCTCACCGGTCACCGATCGACTCTCTCTCTCTCTGTCTCAGCCCTCAGTCACGTTCGTTTCGTCCCCCTAGTCAGTAATAGCTACCGATCGAGCCGAAGTCCGGCCCTCTCAGTCACCCTTGAATCGGAATGCTAAACGCATGTTGAGTGACAGCCCAAGCCGAGGTCCCCCTCTCGGGGACCCTTGAACCTCATCACTCCATGGAGCGCTCGCCAAAGCGCCCTAAGAGCTTGGCGGCCTCCCAAGCCGGTGATAATAATAGCGTGACGGCCCGAGCCAAGGCTCCCTCGGGAGCCCTCGAGGTTAGTCAATATAACGCGTAATAATAATACGCCGAGGTTCAGGCTAGGTGCCCCGTGCGCCAGGCCATCTCAAGCCCGTCGGAACTGTGAAGGCCTCTAAGGCCAAGAATGGCTCATCCAGCCCAAAAAAAAAACCGATGAATTGTGTTGGTGGATGTATGGAAAGGACGAAAAAGCCATTAGACCGATTAATATTTTTCACTCGGAAAGGTTTCTTTTAGTACAGTGCAAATAAAAGTTTTCTAATCGTTCATGGTGCGCGAACGACACAAGACTACCGCTTAAAAAGGATTAAATGGAGTGGGCGGAACACTCAACTATTATGTTTTGTATTAACACAATTTTTTCTACAGATTTCTGTACTACAGAATATTAATAATTGAAGCAAAGCTTTTGATTTTGTTACTTCTGAACGTTTTACCTGTATTTATGTCTTGTCTATGGTAAATAAATTCTCTGCTTTTTTACTTTGCTTTGGCTGTGGATTCGTCCATGATACTAGAAAAGCGTCTGTTTAAGTCTTTTGCCAAGGATAATTTTAGCACGCTTATTAATACTAACTAACATATCAGATCCTAACTTTAGAAATGCGTAAACGAAAGTCTCTTAAGAAAGCTGATGATGAGTCTGACGGATCAGAGCAAGGCGGAGAACCCGAAGAATTTCAGGATTCGGGTGAAGATTGGACACCGGATGCCGATTCGGTAATGCAGATAATTATTAATATTTTATAAATTAAATACTACAATAAATTCATTTAAAAATTATTAAGTACTAATGGAAAACCTATTATATATTTCAGTTAAATACGTAGTATGTGTATTTCATTGTATTTCTTGATAATAGGTTATGTTACTAACATCATATTTGCTGCTTATATCCCCATTAAAGTTATCGGTTTGAGATGATATTAAACTTAAATTATATTTGCATTGATTAAATTAGATAACATATTAGTTTATTTATGTATTTAAACTAAGGCATTCAACTTTTATAATGTGTTATTTTTCAAACTTGCATTAAATTTTATAATGTATCCTACAATGTGACACTTTAAATATAAAAGGTAGGCATATAATTCCCATTAAAATAAATTACATTACTTCATAGAATTAGTCATCAGTGGCTAGGGTACATACCCTATTATATATTAACATTAATATATATAAATAAAACTTATTTTTCAGAACGAACAATCTGGTCGTGGTGCTCGTAAAAGGACATCAAGAGCTGCCTTGAATAATTCTAAAAAGAAACGTAAAAATTCTTCATCCGAAGAGAGTGAAGGAGATGGTGATGAAGATGAAGAGGGTGAGGATGAGGAAGGTGAGTTAGATGAAGAGGAAGGTTCCGATGAGGAGAAAAATGGCTCTGATGGGAATAAATCTGATTCAAGTCAATCTAAGGATGTACCAAAGCATTTCCATGTAAGTAATGTCTAATAGAAAATTATTTTGTTTTGATATATGCAGTAATAATTATTGTTTATCAATTTTTAGTCAGGAAATTTTGTCTTACTAAAATCTGATGTTAAATGGGATGGTGATACAGTAATTTCAAAGTTGGATGAATTGAATTTGTGGAAGATAGATGGAAAAGCTTTATTACAGAAATTCATACCTATGGAATCCAATGGCAAAGTCCTTCACAAGTGTACATGTGTGGTAAGATAAACTTTTAATATTGCAGTAAATACTATCAAACTTTGTCGAACTGATTTATATATGAAATGATTATTTTCAGTATTCTGGATGGAATGTTGACAACCGTGATAATTACTATCCAATAACAGAAATTTTGGACCGTAATCCATTTACAGACTCAAAAGAAATATGTGTAGCATTAGATCTAAATGATCTTATTAGAGTAAGAGACAAGTAAATTCAAGGTTTTTCTACTTAATTCAATTAGATAAGTCAAAATAAAAATAAATGAAATCTTTTCCTTAGCACTGCATTCCAGATTACCATGTGTAATTCATTTTATAAAAATGGGGATTAAATGTTCAATAAAGAGTCTTAATTTATATTTTTTTTCTTGGACTTCCCATCCAGTATCATCCCTTATAGTTATGAACAAAATAAATCAGTAATATAGAAGATTGTCATAGTAGTAGTATACTTTCAAAATAAAATTAATTAAGAATTAACATCTTTATTTTCATGAATCAGCTTTTTTTTCTCATGACCCAAATGTTGACAGCGTCCCGTCTCTTGTGTTACACCTGGTAGGTTTGATCTTCCCTGGAAAAATATGTGATAAACTCAGTGTTGATTGCTTATACATCTATAATATGCATTTATTCACAAAATATAAGTATGTTTATTTATACTCTCCTTAGAGCTTTGCTTAGTCTACAACTATAATGTGGTGTACAAATGTGTCCTAAATTTTTTTTTTAATTAAGATAAAAATGTTGGTTGAATCTTTTGGAATTTGCTTCAACATGTAAGTGCTTCAGCTTGAGACGCATTAAAAGGCTTAGAATACTTTATTCATGCTAATAAATTAATATAAAAAGTTTTGATTATTATACTTGTCTAGATTGAGCAATGAGTAATAAAAAACATGCAAATATATTCTCTTTGTCTTAGGATGCCAAAAAAATATCTGTGTATCGCTATTTTTTTATTAAATAAATCGATATTTTGATCCGATAAATTCAATATCGACATCTTATCAAAAAAATTTTTTTCATACAGAGTTATATTATCTATATATATTTTATTTATTTATTTACTTTATAAGGAAACTTCACAGCATACAAGAAATGTTTAGCATAAATACAATTAACAAGGATATTTAGCCATCAAGGAAGTTACAACTATATACATTTTATTAAATTAATGGTATGTTCAACAGGCGTAATATACATTATAATCTGTAGTTGCCTGCGTGTGTGTGTTTTATACTTCGCAAACGTTTTTTTTCCAATAGGGCCTAAAAAGAAAATATCGATATATATCCTCACTTTCGGCATCCTGAACAGTATATTGGTCTATGCTGTCTCCGATTGCGCGATATATGTGAGCGCCAAGCCAACTCCAAGAGTAGCCGGCGTGTAGTTATGTCTTACGTTATGTGTATGTGTGTGTGTGTGTGTGTGTGTGTACTTATTGTAAACAAACTGTCAAGGTGTGAGTTGTCAAGCTGTTTAGGCATGCCCGCTCCAAATTATTAACTATAGTTTTCCCCATTATACAGCGTGTCTTTAGCATCGCGACAATAAATGAACACACATATAGAGGATAACTTTTTAAAATTGTATTAAACATTTACTTTCTTTAAACATCAATATTTACAGAGTTATTAAATTTTCCAAAACAAAGAATTTTAGAACAACCTTACGTATAAAACTGTAACGTAAAGTTCAATTGTAAAGGTCACAAAGTATATGAATGGGTTGAATGAATTTAAAAGAGACAAAACATACTGTTAGAAGGAGAGGCTTTAATACGACGCTGTGTCGCGAGTTGTATAGGTGTTACAAATTTTGTTTATTTTTTACTTAATTAGTTTGTTTGAAAAATATATTTTTTTAATTATGGATTTTATTTAACGTTAATATTTTTTATGATTATTGGCAAGTAGCGTTAGACGTGTATTAATTTATTGTCGCGATGGTAACGACACGCTGTATAATAAGGTGAAAGTTAAACAAAATAGGTTGCATAAAGTAATTATTTTGTAGATATTCTCTCTTAATAGTTATTATTTTGTAGATACTTGCTCTTCAGTGATTTGCAAGTATGGAATCCGTAGGTTATCTGAAACCCAAAATAAAAGAAATAACGAAACCTTTTAGTGCATGACTTTTATTAGTTTCATTTATTTTGTTTAGGTCTATAAATTAACATTGACTGATCAAATAAATAATGTAATTTTTAAAATATTAACGTCTGATAGAAAGATGATGTGATGATATTTGTATTTCGTCTCCCATAGTTTATAGTAAACTGACAACACCGGCTAACCAGACTAACCTATGGAAATAACGAATGGATACATAATACAACTTAACGATGAAAAGTGATCATGGTATTATTATACGATTTTGCCACATAATTTGGACACGATTTCATAAATAATTAATTATTTTTCGTGAGCACGTTAACCGTGTTTGAAATGAAATTGACGTAAGTTAAAGTGTAATACCAATTTATTTATACATTTTTTGCGCCGTTTGGTACCGCCCATTAGGGTTATCTAGACATGTATACAAGGAGATTTTTTTTTAGAACTGTCCAAATTTACACAGGAGGTTCAGACTCGTTTATTGAAATAAAAAACGTTTTTTTTTTTTTTTAAATGCCATTTTATTCCCTAAAAACAGAACGTGTTGACAATGCGGTGGTCAGTCAGACGGCCGTGGTTCGCGTCACGATCATTTACACATTTATTTTTTTACTTTTTTTTCGATTCCAGATCATTGCTTTCTTTATTTTTAATTTTTTTTTGTTGATTTGTTATTTTGTTATTTTTTTTCCCTTTTTTTTTAAAGTTCTTTCTTTTGTGAAAAACATCAGTTCATATTTTCTTATTATTACGTCGGTAAGATCGAAAAATATTATGCATATTTCATTACTCAATAATTTGTATCTAAATGTAATTTCCAAAATACACGATTTACCAAAAAAAAAAAACAAACCGAGCAAAGCTCGGTCTTCCGGGTACTAATTTCTTACATAACATTATTTATGTCTAGAATTTAATAAAAAAAATGGATAGAAAAGCAATTTCCATTTTCTTATTATAAGCTGAAACTTCAATAATAAAAAACTATGTTTTAACTTTAATATATATTCAACACGCGGGGGTGTAATAGAGGAGCAATAAAAAAACGACAAATCATCCCCAGCTCAATCTAAATCATTTTTGATAGTACGTATTAAGCACCCACTATAAAAAAAATCCTTAAAGGGGTTGAGGAATAACCCCTAGCCAACCCCCTTTTTGCATAGGATTAAGAAAAATGCCAACCCTATCCATATGCAATTGATATTTTGAAATTAAACGTGTCAAAAATATATGATAAACTTCAAGGTCTTATTTAATGATATTTTATACTACAGATCGCTAACGGGCCCGAAGTGAAGTCTCATCTTTCGCGGCGAGTAAGACGGTGCCAAAAATTTAACAATAATAAAAATGCCGTCATGTGTCTTCAAAAGATGTAGCAATGATGAACAAGCCCTGTTTAGCTAAATGTAGTGGGCATAGTAAACTGTAAAGTTAGCGTTGGTCTAAAGTTTGGTTTTCCTTTTTCTCTCTTCTGTACTTGTTTTATATATTAATTAATCTAATATATAAAATCCTCGTGTCACGGTGTTTGTAATTGAACTCCACCGAAACGGCTTTCGTGAAATTTTTTGTGAATATCGGCCAGGGTGGAGAATCGGACAACATCTATTTTTCATCCCCCTAAATGTTAAGGGTGGTCCACCCCATAAATATTATTTTATTTTTATATAAAATTTTTTGTTTTTATTTTTTTATGACGCAGCATACAAAACTACATACAACCCTAAATTTTTACCCCTCTACACAGACGTAGTCGCGCGCAGCAGCTAGTATTTGATATAAAATAATTGAATACTCATATAAATGGTTTCATAGTCATAAAATTATAGTTGTGACTTAAATCCAGCGAGTGCTAATCTAATTATTTATTAACTTCTTTTTCTTTGTTAAGGTTTCTATTTAATGGGGTTCAACTTTAAGAATATTAGTATATTTGATGAAACCTATCGAATAATATTTGGATGCTTGAAGTCAACCTCAGTGAAGTTGCTGGCTGGCATAGCGCCGCCAGTTTTACGCAGAGCTGTTGCACAAGCTCGTGAGAAAGGGCTAAGTCGGACGAAGACTTGCAACACCCTCTACATGGGCTTGAACATCCATCGCAAAGGCTAAAAAGTCGGAAAAGTTTTTTAAAATATGGCGACCCCCTTACAACGGAGACCGCTTAAGCGAGATGTAACATGTGGCGGGCTTAAACACTGCCTCCGGATTACTTTGTCCCACTTTCTGAGAGTCTTCTGGTTGGACATAGTTTACAATGACTAATCTGGAAGTCTTTAAATAGACTTTGGATTCAGGTTGGCCGGAGCAAGGAAAATATGTTGACCGTGTGTGTGGAGCAGTGCAGTCCATGCGCTCATCTGATGTCCTGTCTTGCCTGCCCTTTCACTTGTTCGCAGCAGGATTTGATGGATGCCACAAATTGTGCAGTCAGAGTGGCTAAGTTCTAGGCCAGAAAGAAATCATTTGTCATCGACATGTAAAGAAGAACTTTTAAAGAATGGATTGCAATCGTACGCAATTAAACAAATGAATCTGATAATATTAGAATGTCACATCTGGTCCAAACTCCAGGCTTAGTATTTGAACATTCAATGCAGCATGCGCTCGCTTTTCATCATTGCGTAAATCTAATTAAAACTATAATCGACAAATACACAGTAATAATTCGTATCCATTCCACTCATTGAAAAAATATCCTCTGTGCAAATGTAATAGTAAAGTAAAGTAACAGCCTATACATGTCCCACTGCTGGGCAAAGGCCTCCTCTATACAGAGGGTATCAGGGCATAGTCCACCACGCGGCCCCACTGCGGATTGCCGGACTTCACATAAATTCGAAATATTTTTTTTTTTGTTATTATTTCGAAAATATGCTGGTTTCCTCACGATGTTTTCCTTCACCGCGGAGCACGTGATAAGTCAGCACTTAAAGTTAAAAACTTCATTGGTGCCGGCACCGGGGATCGAACTCAGGTTGCTCGAGTATATTGAATTAAGGCGAGCGCCCGGACACTGAACTATCACGGCTCTTATTACGGCGATTAATCTAGGTTGCGACCTGTGTCTGTAAGTGTTACCATAAAGGAACCTCGTATTTGACGCCTGCGCCATTCAACTTCATAACAGATTTTTATTTTGATTTCTTTAAATCAAAAATTTTTGTGTGGTTTTCACGTTACATAAAAATATTTATATTTCAATCATTGTTCATCGTTAATGTGGTCACATGGTAACTTTGTAAAAAATTTATTCACTGCATGTCCGATCGCAGTAACAGATATAGAAAATATCATTGCTGCATGTTCGTACTCCGTACTTCTCTTTCTAACATAGCTATATGACCCATGCAAGAAAAAAAAGCACATTTAACAAGTAACAGTGACTAAGTGTTCAGTAACAAGTAACTGTTACAGGGTGTAACAGCCACTTACGGAACAATTTGTGTGGAACAGTGGAACAGGAACTGTTATTTATGTTTGTTCATAACAGGTACATTCTGTTATCTCAAAATACCTGTTACGATAAATACGCCTCACGTTCACTCATGTGCAATCTTTGTCTTATTTTTTTGTAACTATTTTGATTTGTTGAAAAAAAAAAAAATATACGGAAATAATTAATTGTTTGTTAACATCAGGGTCATATACGTCTCGCCCTGATGGTTTAATAGTATTTTCATGGTATTGGCTTAAAAGTCTTGTTACCAGGCTATATAATCTTTATTTAAAAAAAGTATTATCATGCAACCACTATCAAACAGAATGTAATCACTAGGTTTGGCATCTAGTAATTAAGGAGGGTTGAAGTAAGGAGGACCATCTCAGTGTATTAAAAAGTGTCCGTTAAAAAAAGAAAGGGAGCAAATTAAGGTGGCGCTATAGTAGCAAGAGAAAGAATTTTAAATAGAACGCCACAAATTATTAGAGTACTAAATTAAAAAAGGAAAGAAACATTTCCGCTTTGTTACAGCGCAATTTTTTAAATTTTATTGTAATATATAGACAAAAATTAGTATGGTATAAAATTAAAATTATACAGTGTTTTCAAGTACCCCAATTATTTGTAAATAGCAAATGGAATATAGTATTAAAGAATTACCGAAATAAAAAAAAAACAATTAAAATTGTAACAAGCAAATTCTCAATTATTTAGACAATCGCGTGCTGAAAAAAGGTTATAGAGGTTTCATAATTATTATCTAAGTGTAGAAATCACCAAAACGGATTTAACAGGCAATCAATAAATATTTATTATTATATAGAAGAAATAAAAATTTATATTTTCAACGATATAACACAATATTTAGCACACTTCACTCTGCTTATAACTGCTAAGTTCATATCATTTCCACTTGCTACACTAGCGCTATTTCGGTGAGAGTTCGAACAATAATTTGCTGTTTACAAGTGGACACTTTTTCGTCTAATCCCCCATACGAGATGGTCCTCCTTACTTCGACCCTCCATACTAGTAAAAACACCCAAGCAGAGTTGAGTAAATAAATATATCGAAAAAATATATGAAATATTTCAAATTCGATAGTCGAAAATAAATATCGAATAACAATATCTAGGGAATAAACATATCGGTGATACATATCTCAATATTTATTTGGAAAAATATCGATATTTTTATATATCGATATTTTTTGCCCATACCTACATTACGTTAAAATTCGATTTGTATTTGTAATGTCATTAAATTTGTGGCAAACTGACAATTATTGTCAAAAAACTTTGATAATTTCATCTTACATTTGTTGTTAAACTTAAATATACATGGAAGACCCTGTGGATGATTTTAATGGTAAAGTATTATAGGAATAACATAAAAAGTTTTTTTAGATAAAATACAGATTTGTATCTTTCTGTTGTAAGATAGTGAAAAATGTGATGGTCGGTGAAAGTTTCCTTAAAAAAACTTTCGTATAATCTGATTAATGATTTCTTTTAGATTTTACTAGATCATTATGAGACAAATCATTGTAGTGCTCATTGCAAATATTTATTTGAGTTTATTTATCTATAATTTTATATTTCATTAAACAAGGGATGAATCCAGTATTACAGAAATCCGTGCTTCAGTACTACACAACAGCACTTGATACCACTTGATCATATAAATGTATTTTCCATTCGTAATGTCAAGTGCTTATGTATATATGCCGTTCCGGGAAGTACCACAACTTCACAGAATACTTGGTGGGCTTGACAGAATTGGAAGGGCTTAGCTTTCCATTGATATCTGGTGAGTGAGGTAACCAGGGCCCACTTTATTAAAAGGTGGCATTGCATCTGCAACCCTATAGTTATTGAAAATGTTCATGGGTGGCGGTTAATACTAAGATCAAGTGAACCACCAGCTCTCTTGCCAAATTCTAATATTAAAAAAAGCTTAATATTTTTAATTAAATCCAACACTAAGTTTTAAATTAAATAAATATCTACAAAAAGTAAAAGTAAAGTAACAGCCTATACATGTCCCACTGCTGGGCAAAGGCCTGCTCTATATATAGAGTCTATATGCATAGTCACGCGGCGCCACTGCGGATTGGCGGACTTCACATATCTTCGAAAAATTTTTTGTCATTATTTCGAAAATATGCAGGTTTCCTCACGATGTTTTCCTTCACCGCGGAGCACGTGATAAGTCAGCACTTAAAGTTAAAAACTTCATTGGTGCCGGCACCGGGGATCGAACTCAGGTTGCTAGAGTATATTGAATTAAAGGCGAGCGCCTGGACACTGAGCTATCACGGCTCTCTACAAAGCCTAGTATAATGATATCTTAACTTTATCTAATATATAAGATTCTCGTGTCACGTGTAATTGAACTCCTCTGAAACGACTCAACCGATTTTCATGAAATTTTGTGTGCATATCAGCCAGGGTGGAGAATCGGACATATATACATATTTTTCATCCCCCTAAATGTTAAGGGTGGTCCACCCTAAACAGTTTTTTCTACCTTCAAATTCCCTAGAAATAATTTATATGTTAGAACAATGTTTGCCGGGACAGGTAGTATAATATAAAATTTAGAATTTGAGAGGCATTTCATTCACATGCCTCTCAAATTCAAATTTTTCATCAATACATGTTATTTAGAAATATTCTGATCATTAAGGTCATTCAGTTCAATTCAGATCAACAATGCTTTTGGCAATAAAATCAAATAACATTTGAAAATCTATTTGACAGCTGATTAGTTGACTTCTACAATGATCAGTGTCTCAAAAACTGGGTGGTAATGTAGTTAATGTGGCATAAATAAATTGTATATATTTTATAAAGATAAAGATAAATGTGATCTTATATTGTTCATATTCAATATACAGAAGGATAATGTGCTTAATTTTTATTTAAATTATTTTTATAGTTTCTTTAATTCTTGCTTAGCAACCTTGATTCACTTTAATTTTGATGTTATATTATTTACAGAACAAAATTGTGCTGTGTGTTTACAAAATTATGAACATCCTACAAAACTTCCCTGTGGACACATATTTTGTTTTTTATGTGCAAAGGTAAAATGTATTTGATAATGCTTTTGCAATATTTTTAAAATGCTTTGGAGTATATAAAAAAAATAAGGAAGGGTACCAAGTAATAATGTCAAAAAATTAAGTCATGACAAATATATTCAAAACCGGATGTAACAACATTGAGTGGACCATATAACTTAAGATGTTATATCCCATAATTGTTATAAGCAAGATACACAATAAATAAACCATGGGCAAGCGGTTATTACTTAACATCAGGTTTCTGACATAAAAAAAAACATTCCTCTTGCGACATCTTCTTCCTTGTTCCGACAAACAACCTGAACGACTTGTTGTGACCGAAGAAGCTAAGGGCACTATCTTGGCATATTCGTGAGAGTCGTTTAGTGATGTTCAGTTCTTTAAGGATCGACTTTGCTGCTATCGCGACTTTTCATGCACCATGCTTTTAAGTCGTGAAACATGCAAGGTGAAATAGCACAGAGCGCACAAGAGATAGGATGTGGTGGGAGAAAGTACGTAGGTTATTCCTTCCTAGATTAGAATAAGTTTGAAAATTATTGGTATTGTTTTATTTTTCTGGTTCAAACACAACAGTTGGTCATCGTAGCCGGTAAATATCAATAAAGTTTCGTCGGTATGTTTACTTAACTGTTTATTAGGGATTCGGGCGGGACCTTTCCATTCTGTCGTAATAACCGATCCGTTCTTATAAACGATGTTGTTATATTAGGTTTAGACTGTACTTCAATTTCAACATTTCAAAAGATATTCAAATATTTTGCATAATTGAAGTAGCATAGATTATCATAACTTGCTTTGTTTATAATGATTATTTATTTACTTACAGGGTGTTGCCCTACATAATAGGACATGTGCAATGTGTCGTAATGTAATACCAAGTGATTATTTAAATAATCCAGTAGTATTAACACAGGACAAAAAACCAGAAGAGAATCACAATCAAGATTATCAGTGGTATTATGAAGGAGGAAATGGTATGATGCTCTTTAGATTTTATTATTTTAGTTAATTCTTTTAATTGTGAACATTTGTTGCTAAAATATTATATTCATATTGCATGTTTAATTCAATACCTTTAATATCAAACAGGCGCGTACTCTCCATAGAAGCAAAAAAGCATTGCATACCCTGTCATTCTAGCAAACATTTCCTAAAATACATATATTAATTTTTAATCATAAATTTAATTTATTGATATTTTTATTGATTTCAGCACCATGTATTGGGTGTTTTTGTCGTCATAAATGACAATTTTACTATAAATCGTGGCTTTCGGTATTTATTGAGCTGCGCGTTCAAGTGATTGTCCATTCCGCTTCGTGCTCTCGTACGGAACGGACCTCTCTCTAAGACGGAGGGCTAATGCCACCCGAATTAGACGCTACTCGCAACTTCGGTTGCAATTTAAATCTTTGTGCAAGCAGTGCAGTAGTTTAGTGTTAGTGTTGTGCTCGTAAGCAGGTTCCTGTTCTGTAAGTAGAATTCTATACACACTTCTCGCCTCAGAGGCGGCTTTGTTTTTATTTAATAACTGTGTGCTTGTTGCGATAGGCGACAGCTAGGTACCCGCCCTAGCGCACCTAAAGCGCAAACGGATTAGTTGTTAGTTTTAGGCACATACCTCCCTGCCGCAAGGTGGGGAGGCCTATTTAGTAACTTACACGCCGGCGGGGCGCAAGCCCCAAAGGCTCAAGCTCTCGAAATGGGTTCCCTCCTACAGGAATTCCTTCGCCAACGATGTCCCGAAGTGTGGGCAAACTTTCTCGCGTTCGCGAAAGAAAAATGTTTAGTCGTCGAGTTCGCCAGCGACAGCCCGGCTTCACCGGCAGTCGCCTCGCCGTCATCTCCGACGCCCTCAGCGCCCGCTAATGCGTCGCCTTCAGCGACACAAGAAATGCCCGTCGCGTCGACCTCCGCCGCCGCGATCGTACCCATCGCGCCTTCCGCGCATCCCATCTCGGCCCCCTTCCGCGCCGTCGTTCCCGACTCACAATCGGACGGCGGATCGGACATGGAGGTCGAAACGACCCCCGCTGAAAACGCGAACGTCGACGGCTTCACCGTCGTAAAGTCGCGTAAGAAGGGCAAAAAACGCCCCGCTGCCGACAGCGACCCCGAATGTGAGGCCGCTTCAACTAACCAACCCACCGCGACGCCCGCCAAAAAGGCGGCCGCGGCGGCTAAACCGATGCCCGAATTCGCCTCCGAGCGAAAAATAAAGCCACCCATCATCATTCAGGAGAAGGCTAAGTGGCACCAAATTTGTTCGTGGTTTGAACGCCACAATATCCGCGACCCCCGGTCGAAAAATACACAAATGGGTATCCGCGTATACCTTGACACAACGGACGATTTCCGCCGCGTAACGAAATACTTGCGCGAAAATAAGATAGGTTTTCACACCTAGTCGTTGCCCGAAGAACGCAAGCTTCGGGTAGTTATCAAGGGCGTCCCCAAAGAGTCGGATGTCGACAAGGCGAAAACCGACATCTGCACTCAAGGATACCCTGTACATGCCGTCCGACGCCTCAGACACCCCAGAACCCGTGTCCCTATAGACATGGTGATGGTTGAACTTGACCCTACCCCGGAAGGTAAGGCCATCTTCAACCTGAAGAGGGTCTGTGGGCTCAGCGACCTCGTGATCGAGCCCCCGCGAAGATCGGGAGTTGTGGCGCAGTGCCACAACTGCCAACACTATGGCCACACTGCTAATAATTGTTTCGCTCACCCTAGGTGCGTCAAATGCACCAGTGACCACGGCACGCCTGATTGTACGCGGCCAAAAGATTGCGCAGATCCACCGGACTGCGTTAATTGTCATACCACCGGCCACCCGGCTAGCTACAGGGGCTGCGCTAAGGCCCCAAAAACTCCCGCGAGAAAAGCTCCCGCAAAATCTACTGTGCCCAAACCTGCGCCCGTGAAATACGTTCCCGCGCCCGTACCCGTCGTAAACGCCTTGGTGAAACCCCAGGTGGCCGTGCAGGTAGTTGCGCCCCCGGTCGCCTCACGACCAATCGCTCAATCGCAGCCCGCCTATCAAACGGCGCCGACGCCGCAGGTGCAGTCGACACCGTCGGTTTTCGCCGAAAACAAGGACGACCCGTTCGCCCAAATTGCTAACATCTGCGCCTTATTAGACCACATTAATAGACAAGAACTCGCCGTATTGTCTGCTAAAATAGCGGCCGCCTCATCTCGCAACGCGCGATTTAAAGCCATTAGCGAACATAAAATGCTTGTAGAAGCCCTCTGGGCATTTACAAGCCAACCATTAACTTAATGGTCCGCGGAATAAACCGCGCTCCGCCGCGTCGTTAGTTAGAACTCATAAAAAACTTTAATGGGAAGTACAACCGCAGGTAGAACAAAACCTCGGGCTCTGGTTGTTTCGTATTTCAACGCAAACGGCATTAAGGGCCAAAGGTACGAAATCGCAGATTTCCTTTGCGATTATAATGTAGATATTTTTCTAGTGCAAGAGACCTTCTTAAAACCTAGTCTTCGCGATCCCAGAATCGCAAACTACAACATAGTCCGCCACGACCGGTTAGCAAACCGTCTGGGAGGCACCTTAATTTATTACAAACGGTCCTTGCACTGTAGCCCGCTCGACATTCCAGAGCTAAGGCATATAGAGGCATCCGCATGTAGGTTAGCGCTCACCGGCCATAGGCCGCTTGTACTAGTCTCAGCCTACCTCTCGGGGAACAAAACCTTATTACAAAGCGACCTAGATACGCTACTCAACTTAGGCCCTTCCGTGATAATTGCAGGAGATCTAAACTGCAAACACGGCTCATGAGACATCCACAGCATCCCAAATAACAACGGAAAGCATCTCTTTAGCTTATCCGATAATTTAAACTTTAGCATAATTGCTCCTGCGACTCCCACTAGGTATCCTACGGTGGACAACTACCAACACGCGACACCGAGTATCCTAGATATCATGTTATTCAAGGAGGTCTCACTCGACATCGAGTCGATAGAGACAATCCATGAACTAGATTCAGATCACAGGCCCGTCCTGTGTAAACTGGGCCAGAACGCCGGCGCGGTCCCTCCGACCAAAGCCGTAGTGGACTGGCATCGTCTTGAGGTCAAACTCAAGGCCTTGCACCCCCAGGACTTAGTCAACCTACCCGAGACGATAGTTACGTTCGATGACGTACATCGAGCGATAACAAGTCTCCGAGAAACCATCACTTCCACAGTCGCAGACTCGGAACGGACGGTTCAACTGTCGGGCGACCGACGGTTTAACTTTCCGCCCGACCTGCGACTGCTAATGAGGCAGAAAAATGCAGCCAAAGCGCGCTTTCGACCGATACCGATCGGAATCGAACCGAACCCTACTTCGACGCCTTCAGCTAGAAGTCAAAGATCGTGTATCGGAACACCGACATACAACGTGGGATACTCTCCTAGAGGACATCGAGCCATCGCACACCGCCTACTGGCGGTTGGCCCGCAGTCTGAAAGCAGACCCCCCCGCGAATCTCTACCGCCGTTAGTTAGACCTAATAGCGCTTCAGTAGCCCTAGATGACTCCGAAAAAGCCGAATGCCTTGCGGACAACCTAGAGCAGCAATGTACGCCATTGCGCGAACACATCGATACAGCCCACCTAACGGAGGTGGACCGCGTAATGGAGATTAGGGCTGCGCTTCCACCGGAAGGCGATCCTTTGAATTCAGTGACCCCCGAAGAGGTTCAAGATATTATTAAAAACTTAAAACCCAAATCCGCCCCGGGCCCAGATAATATTAGTAACAAAATTCTTAAAGCTCTCCCTGGGCCGCTTATCTGTTTACTGGCGACCAATTACAATACTTTACTCTCCAGTTGCTGCTTTCCGGACGACTGGAAAGAAGCCAGGGTTATCGGCATTCGCAAGCCTAATAAACCAGCCAACCAGCCCTCTAGTTATCGTCCCATCAGCCTCCTCAGTTGCCTGGGGAAGCTCTACGAGCGGCTTTTATTAAACAGGCTCAATGAGCACGTGTTTTCCAACGGCCTTCTGCCGGCGGAACAATTCGGCTTTCGAGCTAGACATTCCTGTCTCGATCAACTATTCCGCCTAACGGAACATATCCTAAAAGGCCTAAATCACCCTAAACATATTAGTACAGGGGCTCTTTTCTTCGATGTCGCAAAAGCATTCGATAAGGTCTGGCACAACGGCTTGCTTTACAAGCTGTACACACTCAAAGTGCCAGATAGGCTCGTACACACCATCCGGGCCTTCCTGTCGAACCGCTCTTTTCGATATCGAGTTGAAAGCACCCACAAGCCGCCGCCTCACGGCCGGCGTACCACAAGGCTCCTGAATCTCACCTTTGCTCTTTACGCTCTACACGAGCGATATACCTAAAGACCCCCACGTCAATCTCGCGCTTTTCGCGGATGACACGGCGCTCTTTTATTCAGACCGCAACCTTAGACAACTAACCACTCGACTCTAAAGCGCTGCCGACCGCCTCGGCGATTGGTTCCGCAAATGGAGAATAGAAATAAATCCCGAAAAGAGTGTGGCGATTCACTTCACACGAAGTACTTACCCGTCACATCTTTATAATGGCCCTCGTCAATGCAGAAAGTTGGGGCAAATATCCCTTTATGGCCAACCGCTCCCCTGGGAGAAAAAGGTCAAATACTTAGGAGTCACTTTCGACTCGCGTATGTCATTTACTACGCACATTAATAACGTTCGCAATAGAGCCGCGTTCGTCTCCGGCCGGCTACACAATTTAACTAACGCTAAAAGTAAAATGCCCTTAAGGCACAAATTATTATTATATAAGACCTGCGTACGACCTATTATGTCCTACGAATGCATGATCTTCGCCCCCACGCACCCTACTCGCTTGTACAAGCTGCAAATAGTACAAAATAAGTTCATCCGCCGTGCAACTGGTGCGCAGTGGTATCAACGCAACGTCGATCTGCACAGCGATTGCAGACTCCCGACGATTCGCGAATATTTTAAAGACCTGACCAAACGGTTTTTCGATAGAGCCGAATATCATCCCAACCCTCTGGTGGTAAGCGCAGCAAATTACCAACCCGACACAAACGCGAACGTGAACAAGCGTCGCCCGCGAAACGTCCTCATCGACCCGGTCGAGGAAGGGGACTTAGATACGCCGGACCCACCGCCGGGGCTCCCGCCGGACAACACTACACCCACAGCTAGTGTAACAACAAACACAATAGTTCGCCCTCGCCTCCGAGCACGGCGAGACCAACACAACGCGTACACAAGGTACACCCGCGTTCCAGGGCGGTTCTCACCGCCCCCAGCCACCGATTAGCTAAAAACACAGTCGACGGCCATCGGGGTCTCGGTCCGCAACGCAACTTCGATGGCCCTTAGATGACATGTCGTAGTTAAACGCACGCATGAGCACATGCGCGGCCCTACCCACATCGGAGGGCCCAAACCCGTGGGTTCTGGCTAGCCCACCGGTTCTGCGTCAGATGAAGCTTTAATAGTCTTGGGACTGAAAGCAAAAACATCAGTTAATACAAGACACTTATTGGTATGATAATCAACAAAAAAACCTCTCATTTAAGGACAAAATAAAATAGGTGACTTAAAGTAGGTTTATTTGAGAAGTTAGATTCTTCTTTTGAATATTATTCATGTTTTTTTTTTAATATTAAACGTAAAATTAATAACAATTAATTACCTTATAAAAATGCAAGCGGCGACGACTAGACGCTAATAGTTTACGAAGGTTTTTAGGTTTCTTATTAGTATTCAAATAAAAATATAAAAAACGTTTATCAACATTTTCGCTCTGCAGAATGCTTCTTCTGTCTGAATAACTTTATCCAGCAGTAGTAACAAATTGTTATTGTTGACAAGAATTGTGACAGTGCCACCACCTTCCTTAAAGAAGTTTTGCTTTCTTGTTTCTTTTTGTTTAACAATTTGTGTATTGACAGTTGTACGCAAGGGCAGAAATAATTTTACGGCTTATCACAAATATTATCTGAATTATACTTAATGTTTAAGGTGTCTTTTTTGTTAATTTATTAATTTGTTATTTATCAGACGATTTAGATTCGTTGAACGTCGCAGTCCGTTCAATCATGCAAATTGACATAAGCATCCCATTAACTCTTTGACAAATTTAACTAGTCGATCAACTATTTAGCGAACATGAATCAACGTTAACGTTATGTAGTTAACGGTATGTACGAAAAATACTTGAACGACCCATCAAGTCTTCGTCGCTTACTCGCTTGGATAGAATTTAACGCGTCGATCATAGCGCGAGAACTCCCGAATACAGTTTCGGTTTCGGTCGTAGTTTCGGCAGATTTGCCGCCGAAACTGAAACTAAACCGAAACTCCTTTTTTTGCCGAAACTCGACCCAACGAACTTTCGGTCGAAAAAAAAAAACTACAAACAAATTGTATTGTTTTCATTGTATTTCGTTTTCAAACCACTGTAAAAAAATGTTTGGTCCTATTACGGCTATTCAGATTTAAACAATCAACATAAAGCAGCTGCTAAGTACTATATTTAGCAATAATGAAAAAATAATCCGAAATATTCATATGCAGTCTATGGGGGAGGCCTATGTTCAGCAGTGGACTCAAACAGGCTGAAATGATGATGATTCATATGCACGCCTTTTTATTTGAAACTATTTTTGGGAATAAGTTCTTCTGCTAGTGCTATTATACTACTGCGGCGCAACTAGTATGTTAGTTAAGGGTCAATTTTTATGTATTGAGTTACGAGTATGTGTTCCGTGTAGGTACTTCGTCTTGATTAATAAACATTAACTAATTAAGAATTTAATACTCAGTCATAAGTAATTATAAACAGTTTATAACACGTAAATAATACAACATAAAACTATTTTAAATTTTAATTAGTTTTCATAAATTTTAATTAGTCTTCTTATCCAAGTATAAATTAGTAAGTTTTTTCAGTGCATACCATGTCTGAAATCTCTGTGCACGCCTCTAGCATAGTTTACTTAATTTTGTTAGCAGCAAAATTAAGTAAACTATGCTAGAGCGTGTAGCAGTAACTTATTAATAAGTTATTGTTTACGTTTCAATGATAAATGTTTTTATAATATAATATAATATAATAATGACTATATTTTGTTCAATAGAGGCATGTATAAATAATGTTTTACAGGTTTTCTTTAAAAAAAATATTATCTTTCATTTAATTAAAGACATTAATTATTAAATGTTTTTTTTTAAAACAATTTACATGACTTTTTGCCCCTTTGTAATTTATAATAATAGTATCATTTTATACATATAAATATTTAGTCATAAGAAAAATTTTCCTAACAGTTCATTTTCTTAACGCCAACAAACGTGCACAGCGGTTCTCAATACCGCTCTAATCTTCACTACCGCTACCGGTGCGACTACTCTCCTGGTCCGCACCAGTCATACAGTGACACGACTGCCGGTGCGACTTTCTCTTGCACCAATCTCCACGTACTCTTCCACAGGTGCCCCCTATCTACCGCGTACACATCACACCACAAGTCACTTCTCGTCACTTTCCACTATACTGTTCACTCACTATTCACTTCACTTTTCTCTTCACTTTTCTCTTGCTGTTCCTTCTTCTTCTTCGAGTTCCTTAACTGGACTGCCCGTCTAGCGTGTTCCGAGCCCCTTTTATAGTCGGAATTTCGATCGTCTTTTAAATATTGTTCTGGAATTTGAACCTTCTTACACTCTACACTCCTTCTTCATCTTTCTCCTGCCCGTATAGGTCATTATATTTTTTTTATATTTATATTTTCGGAACCATATTGTTATGTCATATTGGTTTTATTTTTATGACCGGACGCCTACGTGACGTCAATCCTACTTGGGTATTCTAGTTATATACTAAGTGTCTGATCCCTCCTCCATAGTTCTAGGCCTTCTAGGCTCATAGTTAAGATCATTATGGTTTGGAAAAATTCACCAGCTGTACATGATAAGGAAAAGGACAGGTATCTTACGTGTGTTTCTATGTGTCTCTTTCAGTATTAGGACGAAGAGTATTATTATTGTATCGAATCGATAATCGAGTATGAAATAACGGCTACTGAAGATCATAATCCGTACCTTTGTCATGCCGTAATAGTAATGTAACTATTATATGATTGAGTAGAAATTGCTTGATCTTGCTGAGCAATGATATTTTATACCATATTTATGTTATACGCATACAAAATCCGAAAGTATTCCTATTTCCAACGTGACAGCGCACAATCTCACGTTTCGTGCAAATGGTATAAAAATGAAAGCGTAATTAAAGCAATAAGAAAAAAGAGGAGAAGCGTTTGTTACTTTAGCGTAAGTGTAAGTCTTTCTTTGTCTGCCAAAGAAGCCTCCAAAGCCAAGTGGAAACTACTCCTTGGGATCTTTAATCTTTAATCTTAATTTAATTCAATATTTTATCTCACACAGTGGTGCAAGAGTGTCGACTTTCTATTAATAAAGACATCAATTATGTTACTGTTTACTGTTTTTATTTTTAACTAGCGACCGGCCCCGGCTTGGCAGGGGTGCAATGTATTATACATATAAACCCTCTTCTTTAATCACTATCCAGTAAAATAAAACCGCATTACGATCCGCTGCGTTTTAAAGTTTTAAAGATCTAAGCATACATAGGGACAGACAGACAGCGGGAGTTTGTTTTATATTGTGTAGTGATCTTTTCCCTTCCATCACCCTCGATTTTTTAGTCAGCCTCGATTTTGTAGTTAGTAATTGAGATTATGTGTAACTCGTTTCCATAGTATTTGTATTTACTTAATTTTGTGTGCATGCAGTTTATGTTGGTAAACCTAAATAAATAAATAAACTCAACGACTCTTAACATATACATCTTCCTAACTTAAAATTAAATGGCAGGAATCAAAATCAAAATAAAAGGGAAAGAAATCCGTAAATTACGTTTTATTTAACAATACAAAAATTCGTTATTACGTACATCCATTAGCATAATAAATCATTAATTTCAGGATGGTGGAAGTATGACAAACGTAGTAATACCTATTTAGAGGAGACTTATAGTAAAGGCGAAAAAGAAGGTAGTCTTCTTTTAGCAGGAAACCTGTACCGTATAGACTTTGAGAAAAATGTTCAAGTACGAGTGAATGATCAAACCAAAACGCGCAAAATTCGAAGGGACACTCCATTCTTACCATCAAAAGGTTCGCAAATAATTTTATTTTCGAATATTTGTACAGAACTGTGCAACACGTATTTATTATTAGCTTTGAATCAATTCTATATGTTATTTAAGGGTAAATATATAACAAATAAGATAAAGTAATAACGTTATTTGAATATAAGCCCGTGTTATATCATACATTGAATTGTGATTTTAGTAAAAGAAATGTATTAACAGGTATTGCCGGAATTAGAGTGACCAATGGTTTGGAACCTGAACCTCAAGTTGAAATTCGAGAAGATTCACAAGATACTGATGGTGAGCTACAAATTGTCGCCGATCAAGATATTAACGATACAGATTTGTCAGATGAGAATTCGTTTTCTGAAATGGTCCGAAATTTAAGGTTGGTTGATTGTTGAAGTAATTTTTAATTACTTATTCTATAGTTTTAATTGATGTGTTTGAAGTAAAAATCTAAATTTTGAATTAAGTATACAGACCGGCATAATTAAAGAAACAAAAAAAATAGTGCAAGTATAACACATTAACCTTTATCTTTAAAGAAATAATAATTAGTACCCGGAGGACCGAGCTTTGCTCGGTTTGTTTTTTTTGGTAAATCGTGTGTTTTGGAAATTACATTTAGATACAAATTACTAAGTAATGAAATATGCATAATATGTTTTGATCTTACCGACGTAATAATAAGAAAATATGAACTGGTGTTTTTCACAAAAGAAAGAACTTTAAAAAAATAGGGAAAAAAATAAAAAAATAACAAATCGACAAAAAATAACAGATAAAGAAAGCAATGATCTGGAATCGAAAAAAAAGTAAAAAATAAGTGTGTAAATGATCGTGATACGAACCACGGCCTTCTGTTTCGTGGCTGTTTGTTAGCGGCCGCCCGATTACCGATCGAGCTATTATAACATTTTTTTTTCGGTGAAATTTACCGTCGTATTCGAAATTTTCATTCCCTGAAAAGTGGGATAAAACGACATTTTCTAAAAATGAAACCTAGTCAGATCGATTTTTCGCCCCCGAATCTACGCAAATACCAAATTTCATGAAAATCGCTGGAGCCGTTTTAAGGATAAGCCGAGAATTGCTCGTTTAAAGGATAAGATGTACATATTAAGTAAGGAGTAAATTACCAAATTTCAACAAAGATTTTGTATCTTCTTCCTTCATTGAAAACAATGATTATTAAAACAATGATTAATATGTGTCGAAGGGGTTGAGCAAAAGTCCCAATGACCACTAAGACCTAGGTGTTCTATTATAGTCCAAATCTTTTTTTTTATGAGAAAAGGTAGCAAACGGCGGTTCACTTGTAAGGTGATAACCGCCGCCCATGCACATTTGCAACACCCGTAGGATTGCAGATGCGTTGCTACCTTTATATAAGTGGACCCCGGCTACCTCACTCACCAGACGAATCGCAGTACTATAATTCTTCCCCTTCACGCCGAACTATTGTGCGGTCGTTGTACTTACCCGGACGGACCTAACCGTTCGTGAACAGCAAGGCCTGTTGCATGGTCCTACTACAGTTAAAATAAATCAAATGAAAGCAAAGTATATGTTTTTTAGATATCGTGATATTACAAAAAATACAAAATCGTTTGACAATTTAAACTTTTCCAAATTATTATATTCCAATTTTAAATCAATTTAATTAACTGTTGTGGAGTGGCATTCTGGATTTTACAATCCTCTTTAAGAAATTTAATTTGTTTATAGTGCTAATTTTTACACTTAAGATTTACCATTAAAATATGTAGAAAAATTTTTTTCGTACTTTTTCACTTTATGAAATCCCAAATGTTCTCTACTGTATTCATGTCTTGCTGGCCACTGCACCATTGTTACACAGGGAGGCTTTTCTAAGTTTATCCATTTTTTTTTATTAAATTCTAGACATAAGTAATGTTATATACAAAATGATAAATATTTAAAATCACCCTTTAAGTAATTAATTACATCCATTTGAACTTGTCTCAAAAAGTGCGTGATTTATACGCAACTACTTTTATTTTACGCGCGATCATTCATAACTAACAAGCACACAAGTTCGTTTCAAAAGTATACGGCGAATAAATATCGACACCTATCTATCTACATTGTGACACGCAGACAACTAAAGTTTGTTATTACACGGGTATCATAGCACAAGTAAGTTTATGATTCCAATTTTCCTTCATACTTAGAACGGGCTTAGTAATAAAGGGTCGTCATAATACTAAAATTCTACTTTATTATTTTAAAATCACACACTATTGTTCGTACTTATTATGGCGTCCAAAATCTAATAACCTTTGGTTGGCTGCCAAAATCGTCCTTCGATTAGGTACACTTGAGTTCGTTGCCTGTCTTTTTAAACACGGTAAAGAGTCACTTTCATAAAGTCTTTGCGCACCACGTAAACCACGTTAAGTGGTGAACTTAAAATGTACCACCATACCATCTCGTAATACTCGCGGTTCGAATAACGGCGTTGTTGTTCCGACATCGTTAGAGACGTGCGGCCCTAATTAGGTCACGGTCAAACTAAAACTAACAAAAGGCCTCAACGCGACTCAAGGCACGGCGTCAAAGCTCATAAGCTTTGACGCCGTGCCTGTCCGGGTGAGACGGACGCGGTAAGAGAGGAAGGGTCCTCTGCGAATTATCGTCGCGAGCGCTTCGTTTTGTTTGTATGCGTGCACAGTAAAATGTAGGTATTTATGAATGACATGACCACCGCATTTCAAAGTCAAAGTCAAAGTATCTTTATTCAATATAGGCTTAACTTAAGCTCTTATTGAACGTCAACAAAAAATTTGGTTTACTAAACTAGACCTGCAGAGAGAAGAACCGGCAAGAAACTCTGCGGTCTTGTTCTTTTTGTTATTTTTTTTTGATGCAATTATACAAACTTATTTAGGTATAAAATCAGCAACAGCCAGGGGTCTTGTAAGTGCAGAGCAAGAGTAATTTCCACACATCCTTGTCCTCAATGTATACTTGGACATTAAAGTAGGCCCTTGCCATTAAGATAGCTTTTACAAATTGTTTGAAATTGTTTATACTTAGTTGTTTGTGGATGTCACCTATTTTATTATAAAAATTGATACATCTACTAAGAAACGACTTTCTGATTTTAGCCAATCTAAACCTCGGTACTTCCAGAGTGTCACCACGGCCCCGACACGATGTGGATTGTTTTTTTTTGTAAATAGATGGATATTATTACGTACATACATGATGTTCTCAAGTATGTAAAGCGACAGGAGAGTTAAAACGTTTATTTGCTAAATATATGCCGTAGTGATTCACGTGGACCCAAGCCATAGACAGCCCGTATAGCCTGCTTTTTTAATACAAATATTGTGTCTATACCGGATGCGGAACCCCAAAGTAAGACACCATAGGACATTATGCTGTGAAGATAAGCATAATAAACTAATTAAGCTGTTTCCTCGTTAGTTAGCTGCTTGATTTTGCGTATGGCAAAGACGGCAGCGCTCAATTTCTTAGCTAACTTGTCTACATGAAATCCCCATTGCAACTTGGAGTCAACGCTTATTCCAAGAAATGCTGTTGAACCCTCTTTGTCAACAAGTTCTGTTTTTTAGGGAATAGTACGGCAATTTTTTTCAAAAAAAAGCTTGTTTTTTTATTACGATTATACTACCGGGTATGAACTTTCTGTGTAAGTTTGGGCACTTTTTGTAAATTCTACCTGTATAGACACCGCTTAGATATGCATGTATACTCAGCGAGCACTGTGAGCCCGAGCATAATCCTGCATTAGAATAAAGTTAGCACCAATAAAGGGGACTCATGGCACAACGTGTTCGTCTAGAATATACTTGATATATCTGTCAGCAGTCATATTTCTTCCAACGACTTCCACCAATGAAGTATACAAGCTCCTAAACGTGAGCGGGGCTCGCACCATAATTGAGCCGCCGCCCTATGCCACTGTGCTGAGAAAATACACATATTATATATAGAGAAAATATATATATACATATACACTCAATGTAATGCTCTCCTTTACGTCTCCATATTCGTTATCTCCGATAAATCCGATTTAAGAAGATCTAAACTGATCAGTGAAGAAAATAGATATCCATCCGTGTAAGTCAGAAAGGCAATGTCACCCAATCTTTGGTGCTCCGGCAGGTCCAAACGTACCTATACTAAATTCTCCAAATTTTCTGCGAACTATACGCTCATTCACTTGTACTCCACGACCCTTCTCAAGTGTATTTCGGGCTTGCACTCCCGTAAGCTGCGTGTTCCTACGAACTTGAAGATGTAGACGACGGCAATCCATATACATAGTACCCTTTTCTGTACCCTTATTATTAGTGAATTAGACAATCTGCACCGTTAGATATTACGATTAAAATGTTTAATACGTCGACCAAATATTGAGACAATTGATTATATAGTGTATAATAAATATTTAAATTTATATAGTGTATAATAAAACTTTATATCGCAAAGGCGACATCTCTCATTACAGTTATCTGTGTAAAACGATATTTGAAGTTCGTGAAGAAAATAACAATAGATGCGCCAAGCATTGCTTGAAATGCGAAAAAAAAAAGACCAAATAGATAACATACAACTTTTCGTCGTCGTGGCAATCAGTCGTTTGGTGGTTTATGCGTTTAGACGCTATTCCGGAAGACGCGGATTCGATTCTCTCGGCGGCAAAAATCTTTTCGTTCCGTTTTCTACAAATTTTAAAATCGACTAATTTTCTATTTTCAAATTAACTCTAAAATTGCGATTAATATTGTTGCTTAGTTTTTTAAAGAAGACTACATTATTTCTCACTTTTTTAATGTTCTGCTAATTATGCCGGTGTGTGTAGTTTTATAACATTAATTTTCAGAATAATTAAAAAATATTATCAAGTTGGCATAGAGATTGCAGTAAAGTCTAGTGAGCTTCAGAACGTCATCATTGGTATAGTTCCTATTGGCTAGCTAAGTTTTTAAATCATATTATTTTCCTAACTATACTTAGTTCAAACATGATGCCATTAAGAATTAAAGTATACTATTAGTAATTATGTAAACAATTTCTTTATGTAAATATTTTTCTTTTGTTTAGTATTTAAGGCAATAGTTAACTAGCTGACCCGGCAACGTTGTTTTGCCATATAAATTAAAAAATGTTTGGGGTGGACCACCCTTAACATTTAGGGGGATGAAAAATAGATTCCGATTCTCCACCCTGCCTGAAATGCACACATGATTTGAAAATCTGCTTTCATGATTGTACCTTTGTAAATTATTGTGAACTGACTATTATACAGCGTGTCGTTATCATCGCGACAATAAATGAAGACACGTCTAACGCTACTTGCCAATAATCATAAAAAAATATTAACGTTAAACAAAGTCCATAATTAAAAAAAAATATTTTTCAAACAAACTAATTAAGTAAAAAAGAAACAAAATTTGTAACATCCTATACAACTCGCGCCACAGCGTCTTATTACAAGCCTCTCCTTCTAACAGTATGTTTTGTCTCTTTTAAATTCATTCAACCCATTCATATGCTTTGTGACCTTTACAAATAAACTTTACGTTACGCTTTTATAGGTAAGGGTGTTTTAAAATTCTTTGTTTTGGAAAATTTAATAACTCTGTAAATATTGATGTTTAAAGAATTTAAATGTTTAATAAAACTTTAAAAAGTTATCCCCTATATGTGTGCTCATTTATTGTCGCGATGGTAGGTAACGACACGCTGTATATAACCTATTTCACAATAACCTATTTTACTTCGAAAGGCAAACAACAGATATGTCTAGGAGACAATCTTCTGGAATTGTTCGCGATATCGAATTAATCCGGAAACTTGCTTGTTTCAAAATCATAGTGATGCTAATTTATATAAGACCGACACCGCATTAAAGACCGAAACTTGCCTTACACGATGCTTTTTTTCACTCAGTGTGACTGACACGAATTTGATACCGATACTAATTCGCGTACACCACCTATATTCGAACTGTCGCACTAAACTCTCGAGCTGGTCTTCAATTTGGAACTTGACGACGACGTATGAATAATATTTTAATAAAATTTCAGCGCTATAACGTTACGAGAACAAGAATCTTCAAGTTATTTGCCAGAAACAGAGGATACATAATATAAAAAAACAATAGAGGAGTAAAATAATGGGTGTAGCTGTTTGCAAATGAAGTTTCAAAGAAGAAACTATTTATATATGTATAAATTAGACCTTAAAATACACTGTTATAATTTATAAAAATTAAACGTATAGTTTATTAGTGAAGCGTTATTTATTATCGTATTTGAAATGTGGTCCGCTCTCGTTTAGCGTTAAAAAGATTTTTTCAAATCAGCTTTGTAGTTGCTGAGAGTAGCTTTATATATTTAACTTTACCCTAGTATCCTTCCACGCAGATTACAGATATAGTATTATTTATTCATAATTTTTGACATAATTCATATTGCGACACCACTAGCGATTTTTTTTTAAATTCGACAAATAAAAAAAATGCTTATTTGTTATATTTTATATTTATACTATAGTTATGTTGTTAACGTGCGTTGCGCAAAGTGAAGCTACGAAAACGTCTCAATTGGGACGTCTCGTCTGGAACGAAAGATCGTTCACGTTAGACAGGACGGCAAATAAGACGCGGTGTCAAAAATTTTACAATACAAAAATGCTGTCGTCTGTCTCGGAAGATGTGTCACAAGATGTACCAAGACTCTAAAGTTAACACATTTTAATGTATCTTGTATTAACTGATGTTTTTACTTCAGTCTCGAGACTATTAAAGCTTCATCGGACGCAGAGCCGGTGGGCTAGCCCAGAACCCACAGGTTTAGACCATCCGCTATGGGTAGGGCCACGCACGTGCTCATGCGTGCGAAACATGGGACCGAAACCCCGATGGCCGTCGACTGTGCAATTAGCTAATCGGTGGCTGGGAGCGGCCAGACGAAACGCGAAAGTAATTATACTTCCATTTGACGCCGGTTTCTATGAGGTCCTGGTACCTACCCGGACGAGCCTGCCCATTCGTGCAACAGCCGAGGCTGCTGCGTGGCTCTACCACAGTTAAAGCGTTGTGTACGACCCCGGATATTGGGTAAGTGTAATATACATTTTTTAAAATAGAAATAAGTAGCTTAGGATGGTTTAAGTGGCAGCAGAACTTAACCGTATAAAGTTGAAATTGCGATGCGGTAAAGACATTACTTAACTATTAAAGTACCTGGAGAACCTGTTTTTTTTTTTTGGTAATCATGTATTTTGGAAATTACATTTAGATACAAATGACTAAGTAATGAAATATGCATAATATGTTTCGATCTTACCGACGTAATAATAAGAAAATATGAACTGGTGTTTTTCACAAAAGAAAGAACGTTAAAAAAAAGGGAAAAAAATAACAAAATAACAAATCGACAAAAATAAAAGATAAAGAAACCAATGATCTGGAATCGAAAAAAAAAATAAGTGTGTAAATGATCGTGATACGAACGGCCTTCTGTTTCGTGGCTGTTTGTTAGCGGCCGCCCGATTACCGACCGAGCTATTATAACATTTTTTTTCGGTGAAATTTACCGTCATATTCGAAAAATATTTTCCATTCCCTGAAAACTGGGCTAAAACGACATTTTCTAAAAATGAAACCTAGTCAGATCGATTTTTCGCCCCCGAATCTACGCACATACTAAATTTCATGAAAATCGCTGGAGCCGTTTCCGAGATTCCAATATATATATATATATACATATAAGAATTGCTCGTTTAAAGGATAAGAAGATAATAGTATCATACTGCTACTCACGAACTCATCTACCTATGGTTTTAGTTTAAAACATTTTTAACACATTTTAAAATATTTTTGTAATCTAAGAGATTTATTATTTTTTTATTTACCTCAAATTTTTATATATATTAATTAAAGAACGATGGCGAAATCTTATTTGACTAAAATTAAAGCGTCTCGGAAAGACTTAAACTAAGAATATTAAAAAAAAATCTCCATTTTATCAAGCTATCATTTAAAACAGTTAAAGCCGGAAATAAAAAATAATAATTTAGGATACTTAATTCATTGAAATGATTAATATTTGTTACTTTAGTGTTAGCTATTTTTTTTATTTTATTTATTGGAATACTATCGTAAGATACAGCCAACTAAGATAAATACAAAATATTTGTTACATAGTACAATAGATAACTATTCTCCCATTTATAAGTAACCACATCATGCGTTTTATCCTGTTACTGTAATGAAAACAATATAAAAATTATGTAAGTTAAAAATAAGACAAAGATCAATCACGATAGTTACGATAAAGGTAAGTCAACATTTTTAATTTTTGCAATAAAGGTAGCGATGCCATCGAAGTGGATGTCAATATCCGAATTCTTCTCAACATATTCATTGTACAACAGCGTCAACAGCATGAATTACAGCGTCTGGTTTCTTAAAATTTTTATTACATCTTAAGATAAAGCCTAATGCTTTATTTGCTTCGGTAATAATTTTATCTATGTGGTCTGAAAAGCTCGGCTTACTATCCATTAAAACGCCAAGCTCGCGGACAGGACTAACAGTTTTAAGTACATAATTAGTTATGGAATAACTAGTTTCCAATTTATGACGTTTTCTAGTAAACTGTGTCTGCTGACATTTAGAGATATTAAGATACATTTTGTTTTCCTTGCGCCACTCATAAACACTATCTATATCATCTTGAAGGCATCTTATATCATTGGTATTAGTAATTAATTTCAGAAGTTTGAGGTCATCAGCGAAAAGATAGATTTTACTATGTCTTATTTTATGTGTTATATCGTTGATAAAAATGTTGAAGAACCATGGACCGAGCGTAGAACCCTGAGGAATGCTAGATGTTACAGTAAATAAATTAGTAAGGTTGAATAAAACTGCCACTCTTGAAATGCGGCTATTAAGGTAAGATCCACACTGAAGCAGTTTGCCGGAGATTCCAAGGGCTTCTAATTTTTTAATAAGTATAGCATGTTTGACTTTGTCAAAGGCCTTTGAGAAGTCGGTATAAATAACATCTACTTGAGTTTTATGATCGACCGCCTCTTTAAGTTCCGATGAGAATATGACTAAGTTCGTTTTAGTTGATCTTTTAGCCATAAACTCATGTTGATCCACAGTAATATATTTCTGTAGATGCCTGTACAAAACAGTGTGCATCAATGGATATTGGTCTCTTTTTGCCAGCCTTATGTAACGGTATAACCCTAGTTTCTTTCAATTTATCACTAAATTTGCCTGAATGAAGCGAATGGTTAAATAAGGTGGCAATTGGTGCAGCTAATATATCACCACAGTTCTTTAGAAGCAACGGATGTATATCGTCCGGTCCTACACTTTTATTAATATCTAAATTTTTCAGCTTTTTCTTTACTTCTTCTTGAGTAAATTGGATGATGTTAATTGTGTTGGATATTTCAATCCCAGCTGGCAGGTTACAGACATAACTATTACTATTAATATCTTTCTCAAACACTGAGGAAAAATGTGTAGCAAACATATTAGAAATATTTTCTATTTCTGATGACTCAGTATTATTTAAAATCATAGTACATGGAAATGATGTGCAGTTGCTTCGAAGACTTTTTATGCAAATCCAAAATGTTTTAGAATTTTTTACTAGTTCGGTCTCAATTCTAATAATATAATTATTGTAGCACTCCTTAATAAGTTTGTTACAATCATGTCTTAAGTAAATAAACTCCATCTCATCTAGCGGATTTTTATATTTTTTATAATAAATATGTTTTTGGTTTAGTAAGTATAATAAATGGGAAGAAAACCAAATAGGGTATGAATTGTTTTTTATTTTAGTCATTGGAATATATAATCTAATTGCTTTGTGTAAATAAGGTAGATATATAAATGTAATCATTACATCGCTTTCTTAAAACATAACTTTAAAGCCTATGAGTTTGCCTAAATAGAAAGCTATAGCTTGATGTGTAATAGCAAGTAAATGAAAAAATGTTATAGCAGTATTGAAACTATGCTTTAAAGTTTAAAGGAACGTAGGCATTTGACACATTGTCAGACGTTTAGGGATCTGGAAAGTGAAGAAATGTCGATATTTGAAGAAATGAAGATATATCGATATTTATAAAATTATCAATATCGACCCCGATAAAAAAACTGATACATGGATATTTTCTCTTTTTGCTCCATTGTCCAAAAAAAAAGGTATATCAAATATTAAAAATTTGATTGTGCCGGATTCTAATTTGAAAAAAAAAAATAGGATAGGATTTCAATATTAAATATTTTTTGCGATATTGATCGGATATCGGATCTAATTATATCGACAAAAATTATCGAAACATAGATAAAATCAAAAATAGCGATTTATTGATATTTTATAGAATATCGATGCTTCAAAATACATTTTTTATTAGATCTACACATTAATATACATTGTGTATACTGTATAACTTCATTCAATGTTATACACAACAGTGATGTAACGAGTTGGATTTTTTTTGACTCGAGTTACTCGGGTTGATTTGGCTACTGACTCGAATCGCAACTCGAGTTGACTCGCATCGAAGTCTCCGGTAGGGACAAAGGGGTGAGGGGGGGCAGGGACGACGACGACTCGGCCAATTCGGAGAGCACGAGTCAGCTCGACTCGAGGCTAATTAGATAGGAAGTATCAAGTCAAATAAGTATATAATGATCTTGAATCGTGATGTTATATGGCTACTCGAGTCGATTCGCAACTTTGTATGTGGTCTGAATTAATCCTCTCCTTTTTCTCTACACCTCGACCCCGAACAATGTCCGACGGTTGGGATTTCAAAGACAAAATTTACAATCAATTGACACTAGTTTGCAATTTATTTCGAAAATCAATCAACAAAGGTGTATATTATTTCAGCGCAGATCTCAACATCGTGTTTAAGAAAATACGGCAAAAAAATACCGCCATCTATCGCCTCAAAGTCGTACTTATAAAATGTACATAGTCGATTGCTTATCGAAAATAATGTTAAAAAAAGTTTCTGTTTTTAAAGCAAAGAATTCCGACGCCACACTTCTGTTATTTGACGTCGTTACAAACAAAACAAAACAGATCACTAACAAATCTAAA